CACAGTTTACAACACTCAAACTAAACACAGTTTACAACACTTAAACTAAACACATCTTACAACACTCAAACTAAGCACATCTTACAACACTTAAACTAAACACATCTTACAACACTCAAACTAAAAACATCTTACAACACTCAAACTAAACACATCTTACAACACTCAAACTAAACACAGTTTACAACACTCAAACTAAACACATCTTACAACACTCAACCTAAACACATCTTACAACACTCAAACTAAATACATCTTACAACACTCAAACCAAACACATCTTACAACACTCAAACTAAACACATCTTACAACACGCAAACTAAACACATCTTACAACACTCAAACTAAACACATCTTACAACACTCAAACTAAACACATCTTACAACACTCAAACTAAACACATCTTACAACACGCAAACTAAACACATCTTACAACACGCAAACTAAACACATCTTACAACACTCAAACTAAACACATCTTACAACACTCAAACTAAACACATCTTACAACACTCAAACTAAACACATCTTACAACACGCAAACTAAACACATCTTACAACACGCAAACTAAACACATCTTACAACACTCAAACTAAACACATCTTACAACACTCAAACTAAACACATCTTACAACACTCAAACTAAACACATCTTACAACACTCAAACTGAATGAGGAAATGAACTGATCAGCTAAAAACTTGTTGCCTTCACTTTGGCATGAAGTACTCAGTAGATCACGTGACCCACAACCTATCGTGTCAGGTTCAAATACTGCTGGTGTTACTAGAGCTGTTGATGCGGAGTCCAAAATTGACCAACAGTAACTTTTAAGACAAGCTTGGTTGAGCAATACGGAACACGTCAACTCACAGCCAATCGTCTCCCGACTTCTACAAAATAAACCTCGAATTCCGTGCAGGCTTTAGTTTAAGGGGAGGTTAGAATGAGCTAGAAGATACAAGAGTTATCAATTAAAAATATCAGAACACGGCAATAAATCGCAGCATGCCTAAGTCCAGCACGTGATGTATCGACCAACTGCCATCGATTGAGGCATGAAAGGTCACTTCTGGAACCTGAGTCTCATGGCTCTGATATTTGATTAGAACGATTGGGTTATTGATTTGAAAAAAGCTTGGATGCGAGTGTGCACCGATCAGCAGAAATCAATAAGTGCGATATAGGCGAGCGTTGATTAGGGCGTTGTCCCGTCCCACGAATTATTTATTTTAATCAGAACTGCGCCTGTGGTATTTACATATTTTAATCAGAATTGCGTCTGTGCGAATACATTTTTGGGATATGTTTTACCCGTTTTGAAATAATGTAACGCTGATATTATTTTTCTAACTAAAACAGAAATGACTAAATACATTTGTGTCTGGTGATCTAAAGTGTGAGTCGTAAAGTTAAAATCTTTTACTTGTTCACTCCGTGAGTCGAGTCAAAACTCCCTGACGCCTTGTGTGACTCACTCACTCTGTGAGTCGAGTACCAGAACCTACTGACGTGTGTGATTAAATAATTGATGTCAAGGTGTAATTAAACCAAGGAGGTACGCCTTGAAGCACGCGACATTCTGAGTGAGTGTTTCATTATGAGGAGCTGGGATGGTGTCCATCGAGTAAGTATTCACAGGTCAGATGTGGGATGTTAATATTCTTTTACCATCTGTGCGATGGTATTATTCATTTACCATCTGTGGTATGTATTCGCATGTTTGTTGTACAATTTTGAAAGTGTTTATATATATCATCTGTTCAATGGCGTGTATTGATGGCATATCGACAAAATCTCACAGGTATTATTTTTCTTGCTTGGTCCCCACAATAGCAAAATTCTAGTCAATGGCCTACGTTTAGTCATTACGAACATAATCTCTACTATTAAAAGAAAATCGCCTACAAACAGAATTGGCTTCAAATTATTGTCTGATGTTTTGTCAGCTCAAACTCACTGCGATGTGGTCGAATGGTAGTGCGTACGACTTTTTGCCCAAAAGTCTCGAGTTCGGATCCCAGGCTTGAGTCTGTAAGAGTCGACTCAGCTGTAAGGGAAGTAAAGACGGCTGGGAGTAGTGCTGACCACACTATCCTTTCAAATGCAGAGATCACAAACCAGGTGAACTCTACTTCCATCGCCCCATGGACCGTCATACTCGAAAGGGTAACTTTACTTTAACACACGGCTACTGTAGGGTACAAGGTCTAATAGGCTTGTAGATATGTCACCACATATTTTAGGCAGGGGGTGGGTAGAACAATTTTATCCTTTAAAATTTAAAAATGAATAAAATTGCAAGCTGATGAGTGTAGCCGCCATCTTGAAACCCAACGGTATGTTGTAACCGTTTGTCGTCATGTCCGCCATGTTTGGTAGATTTTTTCAAAAAGTGACATACAGTAAGGTAGCTAAATTCCTATACAAACAAAGCTTCCATTGTTGATTTTATTATTATTTGTTGACACCGTTCATATTACGGAGTGTCTTGGTATAACTCCCAAACACACTACAGATGGGACCACTACCTGGCCATTTCTCTCTCCGTCGTCTGAAAATATTTCTATGGATCCGGTTTAAGAGTGTTCGCGAATGTTCGAGATTTAAGCTTTTGGTTTACATTTGGGTTTTCGATTAATCAAAAATAAAATAAATCATAGTCTGTAAAAACTGAATTTAAAAACAAAGAAATGCAAAGAGTAGCTTTTTTTTTAAAAAAAAATGACGAATACAGGAAATATTTGCTAAGGGCGGGGGTCTGTCGTCTGTTCTCATTGATAAAGCGACCACGATAAAACAATTGAAAGATAAACCTAACGCTTGCTCCTGTCGAGATTTTATACTGCTGGTGTTATATATGATCTACAACACTCCTCTTGATGACGTCACTTGTCAACACAACACGTACCTGGGAACATTTAAAAACGTTAATCATGCATGTTAACCAGGGTTCAAATAAAATCATTGCTATATCGCGCTATCATACATGTTATCCAGGGTTCAAATAAAATCATTGCTGTATCGCGCTATCATACATGTTATCCAGGGTTAAAAAAAATCATTGCTGTATCGCGCTATCGTCATGTTATCCAGGGTTAAAATAAAATCATTACTGTATCACGCTATCATACATGTTATCCAAGGTTCAAATAAAATCATTACTGTATCACGCTATCATACATGTTATCCAGGGTTCATATAAAATCATTGCGGTATCGCGTTAAAAACAAATTAACGTATGCCATACTTGAATGATAACATGTTATTTGAAATCTTTGACATTAGTTCGACTTGAAAGTTGATCAAATATTTTATACCATTCTCAAATGATGAGTGTTTCGAGTTACAACTTTTAAACTAAAGAAAGCGGGATTGGTGTTCCTTAAACTTTCGTACAATACAGCAAGGGCTAGGATAGCACTTGTAGATGAATCTGGTTAGAGGATTTTATGACAAAACTTGTAGCTTTTCTAGGAAACACTTAGAATATGCTACTTTATAATCCTACTATATAAAAGCTCGTGTGCGCTCTTCCTTACTTGAGGTGTTGATTGAAAAGTTTACCGCCTTTAATGTAACGCATTATACTGTTTTGGCTATAGATTTAACGCAACATTTTTTATTATTTCTATTAGGTTCCAACCCTTTTAGAAATTTTTAAAATTGACTGATCTTGCAATTCGATAATATGAAAAGAATAATTAGCAACGAATAGGAGATTATATTGTCGGTCAAAAATCAATAAGAATATATGAGTAAAAACCGGATTTTAATTAAATTATTTAAGGTGCTGAAAGTGTTTGGCTGTTTCTGCTTTTGTTTTCATATTGGTATGTCTTCTGAGATCGTAGCGTCGCGCGACAGGTTCTCTAGTTTGAGATAAATTCATGTAATTCTGAAGATTGTTTTTTTAATACAATGTGATATAAAGCTACGTATAACGTATACATTCTAATATTTGTATAGTGTTTGGCCAACTTTTACTGTCCAGTGTTTAGCCTACTTATACCGTCCAATGTTTGGCCAACTTATATCTTCTAGTGTTTTGCTAACGAATAACGTCCAGTATTTGGCCAGAAAGAGACAACATCGACAACTAGCTGGCCAGTGTGTGTTAAACAACAACCCAGCTACAGCTAAAAAAAAAACCAACTTGCCACTCGTTGAAGTTTGGCGGGTGAGATAAGGGGAAAAACACAGCTTGTTAGCCCATATCACAGACGCCTTGATAACGTCGGCATTAGGCGCTCGAAGATAAAGCATTGTTTTATTAAATTGTTGTTGGACCTAACCGTTGTCTGTTCATGGCGAATGTTCTCTAGTTATTGTTTGAAAAAACCACAATAAATATAGATAACCAAAGCGTTTGCATGTGTGAGTGTCCATGTGTGTGTGTGTGTGTTTTATATATTTTTTAACAGTGCTCGCCCTTGATGTGAGCCACCCCCACAACACCTCCAATTATGATAACACACACACGCACACCCACACCAACATCAACACACACATCATTACACCACTAGGCAATAAAGATTTAAAGATTAGACCGTGCCATATCGTGTCCTAACATCGCCGTAAGTTTTGGAAAGATATTCCACGAATGTCAATTTCAAATCAAAATGAGTGCAGCTCATAAGGTTTTACAAAAAGATGTTTTTTTATTTACCCCCCCCCCCCCCCCCCCCAGTAAAGTCGAGTCTATGATCTGTATTTGTGAACTGTTTGAAGGGACGATATATAAAGCCACCTGGACAATGTCGACCCAAGATCTGCACACATTACCAGCACCTAATCAATGGACGTGTGACCCACTAACCAATCAACAAAACTTCCTTTTTACCCCGATATCTTTCCATAGTTTCAGTTGAGTGTAAAACAATAAAGTTCAGCTGGTATACAGTGCTGTCACTAGCATGTAGCAAGTGTAAGTTTGTACAGAATTACTTTTTGACATGACATGGCATTACACAATTCAATCAGACATAGGCAGGCCACAAAAAGGGGCTGAGATTTACCCGGTCAACCTACCTTATCGCCGCATGTAAAACGTTTTATCTTTGAGAACACAATAAGCTTTAATGTCTGACTGACTTGTTGATTGTCGTACTGAGACTATACTAGAGTATTTTGGACAGAGTTAGATTTGTACATTTTTTTCATTTTGTGAATTCTAGATGGATTAAGATATTCAGACAACGTAAGTTTTGTTATTAATGTGCAGCCTATTTGCTGTCCCTCTTTTGCACAGTTTTTTCTTCTATTTTTTTTACGAATTAGAATCTAAAGTCATTTAAAAACGTGCCATTAACAGCAAAAACATCCACAATTTTTAATTTTTCGGCACTTTTAAAAACACTAAGGCTTTTTTATTTATACATTTAAAGCAATCACATTCACAATGTTTATATTTCAGTACACTTTAAAACTTTTACTCGACAATATTTTGTTAGAGCTACTGGTCTGTATTCTACATTACAAGATCCGAAAAAAGCACTATAAATAGTATGCGAAAATTTGAAAAATTTGCATACTTTTTGCAGTAACTTTTAAAAACTGAAAGCCATTGAAATTCCATCTCGAAAAAAGTTTTATTATTAGATTAAGAATGAATACAGAAAATATGGTGGGAAATATACTATAAATAAAAAAAAGTAGTAGGCTTTTAGTGTCAAAAGAATGCGAACTGAGAAAAACAGTAAAAACCAACAAAAATTAGGACAGAAAAAAATATTTCTGTGTGATTTATAAAGCAAGTTGAACGGTTTCCGATTTGACAGAAACTGGAATTAATAAATACTGGAGACATCCAGCTTTCCAATGATGCCAAATACAATATAAGGCGGATGGCAAACATTCCGTAGTCAACGTGAAATTTTTTTTTTTATTTTTAGGATTGTACATTTTTAAAAAAAAAAACTTAACATTTTTTTTCTCATTTAAGTTTTTATTTTCTGTATTAAGAAATGGAAAAAGAATCCAAAAAATGCAAGAAACACAATAGGACGAAAAATCAGAATTTCAGAGTTTTTGTCTAGCGCATATCCCTTTAACACGTATGTCCAGGTTCAATTTATCGATCTTGTTTTCATTGACCGAACATTGGTTCGATCAACATCACCGAGCTATTGCGACGTAGACGTCCAGTCTCGTTTAGAAGTGTTATAGAATCTGGCCATAGTATTAGATCATAAAGATGATCGGCAGTTAAAATGTGGAACTTGATCAAACAGTAGAGCATACACGCCATGATTACAGACATACCTAACCACAACACACATATCGACCTTGTTTGTGTGGCGTGTTTTGGGAAGAGTGAGTTCATATATGTGTGTATGCGTGTAAGTGTGGACATGTGTATAAAGATGTGGTGTACTTGGACAAAAGAATCAAATTAAGCATATTATTTTTATGTGTGTGAGTTTGTGTGAGTGTCTACTTGTGAATTACTATAAAAAAACCTCATGTAAATATATCATTGGTGTGAAAAAAAAATACATTTTCTTTTAGTATCTTTGTGTACCAGTGTATGTATGCACTATAACAGACACACGTAAATATCTTGTATGTGTGTATGTGTGTGTGTATATTTGGACTATCATATACACAAGTTAACATCTTGTGTGTGTGTATGTGTGTGTATATTTGGACTGTCACAAACACAAGTTAACATCTTGTGTGTGTGTATGTGTGTGTATGCTTGTACTATCACAAACACAAATGGACATAGTTGTTTATGTGTGCCACTATGTAATCTTATCGTTCTTTGCCCTACTAAAAGTATTTTTCATAATTTTGACATAATTTATTAACTTATTTGGACGCTATTTCCTTTAGCTTTTAAAAATACGGGAAACTCTAGAATAGCGTTTTAAAAGAGATTATGTAGATAGCATTACCTAACGATAAAGGATGATTTTTAAAAAAATTTCCGACTCATTTCTTTCAGATGTTTATTGATTCGGTAGAAAATTTATTCTAGCATGTATGTTCTAAAACAACAACTGTTCATCTAACTTAACTGCGAAGTAAATATTTTATCGTCAACATCAGCTTTGTGGTATGAGATGTGTGCCGCAACCCGGAACTTAAAACAGTGAATCCGCCATGTCTTGTACACCGCTGATAATAGAATTAAAAAGCTGGTTCCAAATGGTTCCAAATTTGTAGTAATTTAGCAAACCCTTTTATTTTTAATTTGGATTAGTGGAGGCTAGGTCAGAGTTTGTTCCGGGGATCTTTTTTTTTTTGGGGGGGGGGGGGGGGGGTCGGCCTCCGATCCCCCGAAGAAAGTTTACCCCCCTCCCCGAACGATAGAAAATATATACTTTTAACAATGTCCACCCCCCCCCCCCCCCCCGAAGATTTCAAGTGCCCCCACCCCCGGAGAAAAAAGTCTGGAAGAAACACTGGTCAGGGTGTTATGGTGATTAATAAATAATAAATACAATACTACGCTATACACCACAGATCCCTATTGTGTATTTTTATCATGGAAAACAATTGTTCTGACTTTTATAGTTTTTCTCTCCCTGGCTATTCCGGTTGATACAGTAATTTTAAACGACTTTTCAACGGCTTATATTCGATACTAAAATATAATTAACCGGGAGTGATCTCCCCTAAACTTTCTCGAATATTCTTATATAACTTGGAATATAAACATGATTAGTAAATTAGTACTTCCGGTCAACGGAAATTACTCACAATTTGACAGACGGTAGAGAATTAGATCTTTTACTTACATGTGAAATTTCATTTATCTATCTGAAATAGTACAGAAGTTATAGGCTTTTGAAAAAGGAGAAAAAGTACCACTTCCGGTTATCGGAAATCGCTCAAAAGTTGATACGGATCTACGATTTTGATAAAATACTTATATATGAAATTTCATCAACCTAGCTGTAACGGTACTCAAGTTATCGTGTTTACACACACACAGACACACAGACACACAGACACACAGACACACAGACAGACAGACAGACACACAGACATACGGACAAAATTGCAAAATTATGTTTTTCCGTATCAGTGAGATGTAAAACGTCGAGATTTGTAAAAATCTCGATTGATTTTTTTACTTTCTCGTATATACGAAGTATAGAGAAAGTCTTGTAATCGTGCAAAAAAAAATCGAGATTTTTACAAATCTCGACGTTTTACACCTCACTGATACGGAAAAACATAATTTTGCAATCTTGTCCGTATGTCCGTATGTCCGTATGTCTGTGTGTCTGTGTGTCTGTCTGTCTGTCTGTCTGTCTGTCTGTCTGTCCGTGTGTAAACACGATAACTTGAGTACCGTTACAGCTAGGTTGATGAAATTTCATATATAAGTATTATATCAGAATCGTAGATCCGTATCAACTTTTGAGCGATTTCCGATAACCGGAAGTGGTACTTTTCCTACTTTGAATTTTTCAAAAGCCTAAAACTTGAGTACTATTTTAGATAGATAAATGAAATTTCACATGTAAGTAAAAGATCTAATTTTCTACCTTCTGTTAAATTTTGAGTAATTTCCGTTGACCAAAAGTAGTAATTTACGCTACTTCCGATTTCTCAAAAAAACTAATGTAAATTTTTAAAGTACTAATAATATTGCGCACTATTATGCACTATTTATTTGGCGTTCACTTGGTGTGCACTTCTTTTGTCTACAAGATTTTATTCTATTTTAAAAACTTTAAGTATTTAAAATTGATTAAAAAAAAATTCATAAAAAACGTTTTAATAACAAGCTTTTATGTAATGATGCACTAAAAAGTAGAAAATAAATTATAGACTACTATTTAAATAACTATAAAGAAAAGCGTGGGTCACTTTAGTATCTATTGGATACCTTTACTAATGTTAAGGAAGACACCCACGCTTTTCTTTATAGTTATTTAAATAGTAGTCTATAATTTATTTTCTACTTTTTAGTGCATCATTACATAAAAGCTTGTTATTAAAACGTTTTTTATGAATTTTTTTTTTCAGTACTTTACATGTTTTATTTACAATAGAGTTACATGACTAAAAACCATTGCGCGCCTACTGAACATCACGTTCAGTAGGCGCGCAATGGTTTTTGAACGCAGCCATTACGTGATGGCGCTGCTATTAAAGGTGATGACGCGTGTGGTGTGGTTGGCTAGACATGCCTACTAATTCGGTCCAAATTTTAATTAATTCATAAAAAATTAATTAGGCATCCAATTAAGTCAAATTTAGTTTCAGATTGCATTGTCTTCATGTCTTGACCCACGTGCCAACTGTGAATCGTATCGGTCAAGTAGAACTGTCCGAATTTTCACTCCTGCGTTTCCGTCTAGACTGACGACTGACGACTGACGACAGAGGAAGTGAGTTAAATAAAAGCTTGTAAAAAAATTCATAAAAAACGTTTTAATAACAAGCTTTTATGTACTTATGCACTAAAAAGTAGAAAATAAACTATACACTACTATTTAAATTACTATAAAGAAAAGCGTGGGTCACTTTAGTACTTTACTACCTATTGGATACCTTTACTAATATTTGAGAAAAGACCCACGCTTTTCTTTATAGTAATTTAAATAGTAGTGTATAGTTTATTTTCTACTTTTTAGTGCATAAGTACATAAAAGCTTGTTATTAAAACGTTTTTTATGAATTTTTTTTCAGTACTTTACATGTTTTATTCACAATAGAGTTACATGACTAAAAACCATTGCGCCTATTGAACGTGATGGCGCGCCTACTGAACTTGATGGCGCAGCTATGGAACGTGATGACGCGTGTGGTGCGGTCGGCATAGACATGCCTATTGTTTCGGTCCAAATTTTAATTAATTAATAAAAAATTAATTAGGCATCCAATTAAGTCAAATTTAGTTTCAGATTGCATTGTCTTCATGTCTTGACCCACGTGCCAACTGTGAATCGTATCGGTCAAGTAGAACTGTCCGAATTTTCACTCCTGCGTTTCCGTCTAGACTGACGACAGACTGTCGACAGAGGAAGTGAGTTAAATAAAAGCTTGTAAAAATCATGTCTATAGCCCGAGTTTCCATCCCCTGTTGTTTTATATAAGAATATTCGAGAAAGTTTAGGGGAGATCACTCCCGGTTTAATTTTGCACGATTACAATACTTTCTCTATACTTCGTATATACGAGAAAGCAAAAATGAGTGTAATCGATGTTTCCCAAACGGCTTTAATTTTTACAAATGTAGCTATAATTTTATCGCATGCCATATTACAAAAATGTATAGACTTTTCATGCTTATTATCTCTAGTGCGTCCAGCTAATCTACGACACGTTAAGATATTTAAGTACATTACTATACATTCATTCGATTGTATTAAAGCATGGACTTGATTAACTATTTTTACTATCTGATTCTAATTCAATCAAGTTCATTTGTAGCCTGCACCAACTACTTGACTTGTCATTTGATGGCTCTTGTAGCTTTCCGTGTGTCAAGTTTATATCTAAAACTGTTGCGTGGCAAGGATCGGATGATAGGACAATGTTATCTTTGTCTGACTAGATCTCTTCCTTTTCGTGGAATTTAATCAGGAACCCGTAAACTGACACAAATATTTGTATCGAGACTCCAACCCGTCAACTAAAATAATAATCAGACTCGTAGAAATGTGAGAATAATTTGTAGTAAAACAGAAGTTACATCAGAGTTGCCTCCCATAGAGGAGAGGTGTGAAATTCTTCCACACATTTTACCTTGTCCATTACTGTTGTAATGTTATTGCAGTCACAAGTAGTTTTTTTAAAATCAGTTGTTTCCCTTATTTCAACAAAACAAAATGGCCTCACTAGGCGCTAGCAGGGTAGTACACAAAAATAAAAACATTGGTTAGCCGAGCCCAAATCTCCAGGTGCAGGTGGAATTATACACCGCCACAAGTGTCAAATGTATTAACGGACTGGTCAAACATGAGCTGTTGTAGCAGTATTTAAATACATGCACGTTTATTTCTTTTCATGACAAATAGGCCTAACTGTCAGTTGATATTCTCATAATGATACTAAAACTTTTACATTTTTTAAAATGAAAAATCAACCACAACATAATTTAATACATTTTTATAACAATAAATTACAGTATTTAGTGTCTGTTGGCTGAAAAATGTAGGTATACCAGGAAGGTCTAAGTAATTAGCATCAGCTAGCTGGCAACAAGCCAACTTGACAGTAAAAATGTGTTAAGTTATTAGTACAAATGTATGTGTCCTTACAACAAATACAAATGTATGTGTCCTTACAACAAATACAAATGTATGTGTCTTTACAACAAATACAAATGTATGTGTCCTTACAACAAATACAAATGTATGTGTCTTTACAACAAATACAAATGTATGTGTCTTTACAACAAATACAAATGTATGTGTCTTTACAACAAATACACATGTATATGTCTTTACAACAAATACAAATGTATGTGTCTTTACAACAAATACACATGTATATGTCTTTACAACAAATACAAATGTATGTGTCCTTACAACAAATACAAATTTATGTGTCTCTATAACAAATACAAATGTATGTGTCTTTACAACAAATACAAAATGTATATGTCTTTACAACAAATACAAATGTATATGTCTTTACAACAAATACAAATATATGTGTCTGTACAAAAGTTTGTCTCCCTTAACACACAGACCTGTAGAGCTGATGAAATCGATGACGATTGTGTAGAGATTTGTACAAGAACGTCAGACAAGGATGCTGGTAAATAGAGCGTGGCTGTTGAGTGCCAGGAGTGTCCTGCTGCTGACCACTTTAGCTGCTTCACACTTGGTTGGCATCACTTCTGCTAATGGTAAGTTACGTTGGTAGAAATATTATTGTCTTTAAAACACGTGAGTGTATAAAAATGATGTATGTTTTTGTATTGCTTTTGTATAAATTCTATTTATTTTTAAATTAAAAATGTATGTAGCCAAACACAATATAAAAAAAAACATAAGGGAGTGATCTCCCCTAAACTTTCTCGAATATTCTTATATAAAACAACAGGGGATGGGAACTCGGGATATAGTTATGATTTTTAATCCATTTTAAATACTTAAACTTTTAAAAATAGAATAGAATCTCAGTAAAAAACAATTGCGCACCAAGCGAACGCCGAATAAAGATGTGTATAATAGTACGGAATATTATTAGTACTTTATAAATTCACATGCATTTTTTTTTTTGAGAAATCAGAAATAGTGAAAATTACTACTTCTTTTCTACGGAAATTACTCATGTGGCCCTTTTTTTTCTAGTTTCGCCACTGCTAAGGCTATTATAAAATAAACGGGGAGTGATCTCCCGTAAAACGTTTTCGAATATTCTTATATGAAACAACAGGGGATGGCAACTCGGGATATAGACATAATTTTTAATCCATTTTAAATACTTAAACTTTTAAAAATAGAATAAAATCTCGTAGAAAAAAGAAATGCACACCAAGTGAAAGCCAAATAAAATGTGCATAATAGTGCGGAATTTTATTAGTACTTTATAAATTCACATGCGTTTTTTTTTAGAAATCTTAAATAGCGAAAACTACATTACTACTTCTGATCAACGGAAATTACTCAAAATTTGACAGAAGGCAGAGAATTAGATATTGTACTTACATCTGAAATTTCATTTATCTATCTGAAATAGTACTCAAGTTATAGGCTTTTGAAAAATTAAAAGTAGAACAAGTTCCACTTTCGGTTATCGGAAATCGCTTAAAAGTTGATACGGATCTACGATTTTGATATAATACTTATATATGAAATTTCATCAACGTAGCTGTAACAGCACTCAAGTTATCGTGTTTTCACACACACACACACACACACACACACACACACACACACACACACACACACAGACACACACACGCAGAGGCATACGGACAAGATTGCAAAACTATGTTTTTCCGACTCACGGGGGTGTAAAACGTCGAGATTTGTAAAAATCTCGATTTTTTTTTCACGATTACAAAACTGTTTCTATACTTCGTATTTACGAGAAATAAAATAAACCCGCTAAATGCCGTCACACTCCCGGAAAAAAGAGGGGAGGGACTGAAGAGGAGATTTTGCGACGAGAAGAGGAGTTGGTTCAGAAATGTGAAGCTACACTTTCAAGTTATAATATAGTCTATATCTATGATCATTTTTTTTATAAGTTAGCCTTGTTAAACTCGCCGTTTTACGTAAGCAAAAATAATCTATTTGATCCCCGCAGTAGTGCCATCCATCAATTGCGTAAGTCCTAAAAAAGGTGTGATTCGGACAATAGCCTATGATTTGGGATAGGGAGTGTTTTAAACTTAGAAAGTATGGCGTCACACTGCTGCATTAAAATGGAGTTTAAAACTCAATTCTAGCAGTTTATTAATTTTGCATCGATAAATGACTTTTTTGTGTATATTTTTATACATATGGATCAATATTTCAAATCTTGAAATTCGGTAATGTATGATGATTAGCGAACAACTGTGTATCCGCACCTACATCGCAACAACTACCTTTGTTTCAATCAAATTTAACAGTAAATCGTTAAGGACGATAACCCCCCCCCCAACCTCCTTTCCCACAACCCCTACCTTATAACCCCCCCCTCCCGGTGAAAGCAGCCTTTTCTTAGTTACCTCCCCTAAGTTTAAAATCGTTTCAAACTAAATTATCTGCCCCTAATAGCCGTCACTAAATCCGACTCTACGATTGTAAACATTAAGCGTGAACCACAGCTCACCAGACCAAATGGGGGTGGGGGGGGGGGCGTAGGGATATGCCTAGAGAGGAAGAGAGGGGACTGCAAGGCGCGCTTAAAGGTTGGTGTTTTCTATTGTCTCCAAGAAGAGAATTATATAGATCTATATAGATTTGTAGTTAAGAATCAATTTTTCAGCATTTCAGCTATTTCCGGTAACTGGAAGTGGAACTTATTTTACTTTTGTTTTTCAAAAGCCTATAATTTGAATATTATTTCAGATAGATAAACCAAATTTCACAAAAAAAAAGATCTAATTATCTGCCTTCTGTCAAATTTTGAGTTATATCCGTTGACATTAGTATTTAACGCAATTTCCGTTTCTCAAAAAACGCATGTGAATTTATAAAGTACTAATAAAATTCCGCACTAGTATACACAGATTGTTAGACGTTCACTTGGTGCGCAATTCTTTTTCTACGAGATTCTATTCTATTTTCAAAAGCTAAAGTTGGCTACTTAAAATGGATAAAAAATCATGTCCATATCCCGAGTTGCCATCCCCCGTAGTGTTTTATAAGAATATTCTAGAAAATTTGGGGGAGATCACTCCCGGTTTATTTTTATAGTATTTATCATAATAAAATATTTAAAATTACAAATAACTATTTGATATAATATTATGATACGTGAATGTTTGTTAAAATATGTGTACGAATCTGTATTAAATAGTGTCATTATTTCCCCCTATTTTGTTCGCAATATTAAGGAGGGAAATAGAAATTTATTTTACAACGATTAGCAAATCTTTTTTTGTTTGTGTGTGAAGTGCTTTTGTGTTGTATTCTGTTGTCAGTGATGTGTTGTGTGTGCTTGTGGTGTGCTATTGTGTGATCTGTTTTGTCTTCTGATCACTTCTGTTCAACAAAAAATGGAGTTTAAAACTCAATTCCAGCATTTTATCAATTTTGCATCGATAAATGATTTTTATTTTGGTATATTTTTAAACATATGGATCAATATTTCAAATCTTGAAAATCGGTAATGTATGATGATTAGCGAGATTTGCCGCAACAACTACCTAAATTTAACAGCAGCAACATGATTTCATAACTTAAATAACTCATCTTTTACTTTTTGTGCCAAGACACATGGGGCCGCCACAGAAAGCTCCCTCTACTTGTGTCGGTCAACAGCAACTTGACTGGCAGTCCCCCATGAAGTCCTGCCTCTGCCAGATGTTTCCTGGCAGTCCCCCATGACAGTCCTGCCTCTGTCAGCTGCTTCCTGGCAGTCTCCCATGACAGTCCTGCCTCTGCTTCCTGGCAGTCCCCCATGACAGTCCTGCCTCTGTTTCCTGGCAGTCCCCCATGACAGTCCTGCCTCTGCTTCCTGGCAGTCCTCCATGACAGTCCTGCCTCTGCTTCCTGGCAGTCCTCCATGACAGTCCTGCCTCTGCCTGATGTTTCCTGACAGTCCCCCATGACAGTCCTGCCTCTGCCTGATGTTCCCTGACAGTCCCCCATGACAGTCCTGCCTCTGCCAGCTTTAGGAAGTCCCCCATGACAGTCCTGCCTCTGCCAGCTTTTGGAAGTCCCCCATGACAGTCCTGCCTCTGCCAGCTTTTGGAAGTCCCCCATGACAGTCCTGCCTCTGCCTGATGTTTCCTGACAGTCCCCAATGACAGTCCTGCCTCTGCCAGCTTTTGGAAGTCTCCCATGAAGTCCTGCCTCTGCTTGATGTTTTCTGACAGTCCCCCATGACAGTCCTGCCTCTGCTTCCTGGCAGTCCCCCATGACAGTCCTGCCTCTGCCAGCTTTTGGAAGTCCCCCATGAAGTCCAGCCTCTGCTTGATGTTTTCTGACAGTCCCCCATGACAGTCCTGCCTCTGCTTCCTGGCAGTCCCCCATGACAGTCCTGCCTCTGCCAGCTTTTGGAAGTCCCCCATGAAGTCCAGCCTCTGCTTGATGTTTTCTGACAGTCCCCCATGACAGTCCTGCCTCTGCTTCCTGGCAGTCCCCCATGACAGTCCTGCCTCTGCCAGCTTTTGGAAGTCCCCCATGAAGTCCAGCCTCTGCTTGATGTTTTCTGACAGTCCCCCATGACAGTCCTGCCTCTGCTTCCTGGCAGTCCCCCATGACAGTCCTGCCTCTGCCAGCTTTTGGAAGTCCCCCATGAAGTCCAGCCTCTGCTTGATGTTTTCTGACAGTCCCCCATGACAGTCCTGCCTCTGCTTCCTGGCAGTCCCCCATGAAGTCCTGCCTCTGCCAGATGTCTCCTGGCAGTCCCCCAAGACAGTCCTGCGGCTGCCAGAAGTTTCCCTGCTGTGCTCCTCCATGTCTTCCTCGGTCCTCCTTTTTTTCTTTTCAATTGAGGCGTCCATTTTAGCGCCATTTTTATAACTAAATGAAAGAAAAGCAATTAATTTATTTAATATCTCGTAAGGAGGGAGTGATCTCCCTTAAACTTTCGCGTATATGCTCTCTTATATAACTGTAAGGGGGATGGCACTTTCAATGCAATCGGCCTATAGAATTTTTAGAAATTGATTTTTACTTCCTTGTAGATAAAGTATAGAGAAAGTATTGTAATCGTGAAAAATTATCGAAATCGAGATTTTCACAAGTCTTGACCTTTTACACCTACCTGAGTCGGAAAAACTTAGATTTCCCATTTTGTCCGTATGTCTGTCTGTTTTTTTTGTCTGTAAACACGATAACCCGAGTACCGTTTCAGTTATATTGACGACATTTCATATGTAAGTATTACATCAAATTTGTAGCTCTGTTACAACTTTTAAGTGATTTCTGGTAACCCGAAGTTGTACTTATTCCACTTTCGGTTCCTCAAAAGCCTCTAACTTGAGTTCCGTTTAAGTTAAGTTGGGCGGATGAAATTTCACAATTCAGTATTGCATAATATGCGCATGGTTCTTTTAAATTTTGAACAATTTCCCGCAACCGGAAGTGGTATTTTAATTTCGTATACAAGTATGAGATCTTTTACTTGGATAACTTTTTTTTAAAGTGTGACGTCATTTAGGTTTGTTTAATTTAAAAATAATGAAAGAAAATGACAGGGAAAAAATCTAGCTAAGAGCATGTCGTCATTTTTAAATGACCAATTTCAATTATCACTTTAGAAATTAGAAAAATAAAACTATATCAATTGAAGTAATTTAAAGCTTTAAATTTTAAAAATTAGTTTATCTATTTTCAAATTGTTTTTATTTAGCCTAGTGTGAAAGTTATGTTGATCTTATTTGATCTAAACGCTAACAACATTATCTAACAATACAATTTACCTTTAACGAATAGACTGCACGTCCCTAAACAGTGTGATACAAGTTAATGAGACTTTACAGTTGACACCCATTGGTAAGATGTTTTTTTATGATATCATGGAATTAAATTCTCTAGATCTATATGATATAGTCTGAGTTAATTTTTTTATGTACATTATAAAACATTGAGCGCTTATTGTTCTAATGTATCCTTTTTTGTAATAATTTAAAAATAAATAAAAGCACTTTTCAAAAATTCTTATAGGAACTGTAATCTTACGTTTCAATGCGTCAAAATTTGCGATAAACACAGCCCAGGATTTGTTTAAAGCCGTGCAGACCTCGACTGGTAACTGGAGCATCCAAGTCAACAAAGAACTTGATGCTGAGAAAATATATGCAGAACAACCGGTAGATCATTTTACTAGATCACTTTTTCAAATTGTAGCTAACACCTTAATGCTGAGATAGTATTGGTTTATACAGGCAGATCACTTTAAAACACCACATTGTAGCTAATGAATGGTGTAAGTTTGAGGCGAGCAACGGGGAAAGAAAAACGGCGGCGTACTAAATTTGAAAATAAAATGTCTCTCCTCTCACCAACTAAAGCCCCCACCCCTCAAAAATGTTATATACCACACTAAATAACACTTATAGTTATTATGAAACGAGTTATTTAGTAAACATATTTGAATAAAAACGTTACATGATGTTCACAAAATGTAGGTAGGCTTAAATGTAAAACAGCAGAAATGTACAACAACGGTTTTCTAAGCGTCATGTAATTTGTAATGTCAATATTATAGTCGATATATATATATATATATATATATATATATATATATATATATATATATATATATATATAACTTTTTTTAAAAAGCTTTTTGCTTTTAAAAAACTCATTTAAAAATTTAGTAACATCAATTTATTGCAGCAACAAAAAGGTTTACTGACCTACAGCACCTCTTGTGCTAATATCGGTCAGGAACAGGTTAGTGCCATTTTTACTTTTTCAAACCAACCCAGTTTTAAACGGACATTACCTGTATCGGCTTTGGAAGAGAGAGACAGATTATCAACATGATTCGACGTCAATAGAGTGAAAGACCGCAAATGGTGGCATTTTATTTTGGACGACATTTTGGAAGGAATTAAATATTTTAACCTGACTTTAAGTCATGGGAAGTGCCTTAAAATGCCAAGATCAAAGAAATTAATAGATTAACTTTATGTGATGAGCTTTTGTGGAGTCAGGTCTTAAAAGAAACTTTCTTAACTTATGAAATAAATCATGTAAACATTCTATAATCATTAGTACCATTTCATTGTAGCTAATTGTAAAAAAAAACAAAAAAAACAACAACTCTTAACAATTTAATTCTTAAAACAACTGTGTATCCGCACCTACATCTATGTTTGCTCTTCATATCATTCAGTTGAGATTTTTGTGTGGATTTGTTGGCACAGTGTAGCTCCAGACATAAAAATAAATAAAAAATAACAGGGTTCTTTCATTTACAACCGCAGACATTAATTTATGACCTGATGATTATGGTAGTCGATGTCGACGAGTTTGTGCCAAGTTTCCCCAACACAACGTACACGATCAGCGTGCCTGAGGTAAGTCTTTCTCTCGAGCAAATTTATACACACCATATTTAGATAAATGTGACATCACAAAGTTTTTTTTTTGGCCGATATTTGACTTAAAACTAAATCCAGATCACAAAGTAATTGCAAAGCTACAAAGGATAGTCCACAAAAATAAGGCACTACTGGCCGGCAACCTATAACATAGAAAGCATGACATAACTCCCCCCTCCCGACAATTACCCTCCGATATTTTCCCCGACATTACATACCCCGGGTATCTACTCTCTTATCAAATACACACGGTCCGTAAAATGGGAGGGAGACTTTTCCTCATATCGACAACAAATTGACAACGAATTCAGTAGCCTACTAATATTAAACATAATCCTAAATGTTAAGTGATAGTTAGTGGTGCTGGTAGGAAGAAGGTTGTGTACACATTTAGCAGGAATCGCGTCGTTTTATAACCGTCTTTATTTTGCAATAAGAAAAGTATAGCGTAGTTGTTATTAAAATCCTAGATAAGATGAGTTAGTGAATTGAACACAACAACAAAAACATCGCACTCTACCATCCTATACTAATACCATTCAAATTGATATTTTTAAAAAAAATTCATTTAAACAACTACTTACAAGTTTACGAAGTTTAATTATTCCAATCTATTTAACTGTTAAAATTTGCATTTCTATTGCTTTGAGTTTTCTTTGTAACGCATTGTACTAAATACATGCTTTAACTATTTAATAGCGTGTTAAAAATAACTTAGCAATGCCCTATTTAAAAGTAAATACCCTTGTACTTCGGGAAATGCGCCCCAAACACTCTAATGAACGGCATTGTTTATTACTTTCTCTATACAGAACAGCCTATTGGAGAAAGTATTGTAATGGTGCATAGGTTACTTATTTTAATCGGGCAGAAATTCTAAATCCAGATTAATCAAATTTCGGCGTTTTACGCGTAATTGAGTCGGAAAAACTGGGCTATAAAATTTTGTCCGTGTGTGTCTGTATGTGTCTGTGAACACTATAACTTGAGTACTTTTACAGCAAAGTTGATATACTTTCATATTAAAGTATTTCATCCGATTTTTGTAGTTCTGTATCAACTTCTCAGCGATATCTGGAAGCCACCAATACCTTAACGCTGGTCATTAAAACATCATAAGAATTATTAATTACCATTAATCTCAATGCCAAATTATCGGTAAATAATAAATACGTTATTAAACAAACTAAAGCGCTTAGCACCTAAATTAAAAAAAAATATATATATATATATATATATATATATATATATATATATATATATATATATATATATATATATATATATATATATATATATATATATATATATATAATCTTCAGTCTACTCCAGTGAATACTGCCCTGTTTACATTTGATGTGGCTGGTGTCAGAGCTGTAGACTTGGATGCAAATCCAGCCACCCCAGAGTACAGGATTGTTGATGTAAGTAACATGAAACGTGTGTATGTGTTGGAAACAAATTAGTGTAACATTTTTAAGTGTTGTGGTGGTCTATCACTGTTCCACACTGTGTTATTGTTATAGGTAGTGGGGTTATGGTTAATATTTTTTTACACAATTGTCAACTATTTTAAGTGAATGGGTGATGATAAAAGCGTTGTTTTACAACACTTTAGTTTTATTAATTGGATTTTAAGAAAAATCTGTTACAATATTTGTTTTCTGTATAAATTTTCATTATTTAATTAAACACAAGATACAAACAGTTTAAGACTTTAAAAAAAAACCCATGTATGAATACATCTTAAAATAGATAAATGATAAGATAAAGCACGGATTGTGTGTATAGAACAAAAATAAAACAACAGCACATAAACTAAGAGAGGAGAATCAAACGGAAATAAAATTTGAACGTGACAGACGTTTTTTTGAGACGATTTGAGTCCAATACGTTTATTTTGTGTTTGAATAGAAAGACCAATGATATTAGCCATGAGCTTATTAAACTTATTTTTGTGTATCAACAGGTAGACCAAAGATAAATAAATCATCCCTTAACCCTTATTGGGGTGGTCTGTCTTCTGCTATACCATTTGGATTCCACTATACCAGGAAAATTGAGTCTAATAAAATGGTTTTGTATATTTACAGGGAGCCCAAGGATTTTTTTTGATGATAGACATCCTGAAGGGCGTGGTGACGTTAGAGAACCTACTCGACTACGAGAGTGGCATCACTCAGTTTAATCTTAACATCTCGGTGAAGGTAATTCAACAGTAGGATTAGGATAAAGGTCGCGGAAAGTGTACGCCCCCCCCCCCCCGAACGAAATGGAATTTATATAGAAAATATATACTTTTAACAGTGACCGCCCCGCCCACGGGAAATTTTAGTCCACCCCCCCCCCCCCCCCCGAAAATTTCAAGTGCCCCACCCCCGAGAAAAAAAGTCTGGAAGAAACACTTTCTGCATTCAACTAAATGTGAATACTATTAGTGTATATGCAAGCCAAATGTGTCTTAGACATTATCACCACACCAGTTACCCTCTACCTTCTTGGAATACATATTGTATCTATCCCTATCCTTATACCGATTTCTCTTTTTCCACAACATACCCCTTCCCCATTTTCTATACAGAGTATAGAGGTATTGTAATCGTGCACAAAAATCACATGAAATTTTGACAGTTTTCATAGTTTTACACCTTAATACTTCATTATATGGGACTTATTTTAATCGGGCAAAAATAATAAATGCAGATTTATTAAAATTTCAGCGTTCTATGTAGAACCGAGTCGGAAAAAAACTGGGCTTTGCAATTCTGTCTGTCTGTGTGTGTGTTTGTCTGTCTGTCAACACAATAACTTGAGTACCTTTAAAGCTAGGTTGATGAAATTCCATTTACACGCATTACCGCGTATCATATGCCGCTATTTAGTTGTTTTACCTTCTACTTTTCAGTAATTAATAATTTGTGAATTTGATAGTACCGATGCTGCCACTGAAAATATTTGCTTTAAAACACTATCAGTAGGTCGTTTAGGACGATAACCCCCCCCCCCCCCACCCTCCTTTCCCCCAACCCCAACCCAGAACCCCCCCCCCCCCCTTCCCGTGAAAGCAGCCTCCTGTTAGTTACCTCCCCTAAGTTTAAAATCGTTTCAAACTAAATTATCTGCCCCTAATAGCCGTCACTAAATCCGACTCTACGATTGTAAACATTTAGCGTGAACCACAGCTCACCAGACCAAATGGGGGTGGGGGGGTAGGGATATGCCTAGAGAGGAAGAGAGGGGACTGCAAGGCGCGCTTAAAGCTTGGTGTTTTCTATTGTCTCCAAGAAGAGAATTATATAGATCTATATAGATTTGTAGTTATGAATCAACTTTTCAGCATTTCAGCTTTCCAGTAACTGGAAGTGGAACTTATTTTACTTTTGTTTTTCAAAAGCCTATAACTTGAATATTATTTCAGATAGATAAACGAAATTTCACAAAAAAAATAAAATAAAAACAAAAGATCTAATTATCTGCCTTCTGTCAAATTTTGAGTTATATCCGTTGACAGTAGTAATTAACGCAATCTCCGTTTCTAAAAAAAAACGCATGTGAATTTATAACGTACTAATAAAATTCCGCACTATTATACACAGATTGTTAGGCGTTCACTTGGTGCGCAATTCTTTTTCTACGAGATTCTATTCTATTTTCAAAAGTTAAAGTAGGCTACTTAAAAATGTATAAAAAATCATGTCTATATCCCGAGTTGCCACCCCCCGTAGTGTTATATAAGAATATTCTAGAAAGTTTGGGGGAGATCACTCCCGGTTTATTTTTATAGTATTTATCATAATAAAATATTTAAAATTACAAATAACTATTTGATATAATATTATTATACGTGATTTTTTGTTACAATATGTGTACGAATCTGTATTAAATAGTGTCATTATTTCCCCCTATTTTGTTCGCAATATTAAGGAAGGAAATAGAAATTTATTTTACAAGGATTAGCAAATCTTTTTATGTTTGCGTGTGAAGTGCTTTTGTGTTGCATTCTGTTGTCAGTGATGTGTTGTGTGTGTGCTTGTGGTGTGCTATTGTGCAGTGGCGTAGCGAGGTCGGGTGTCACCCGGTGCGGCACTTAATGGTGTCACCCCCCAGAGGAGGCGTAGCGACCCTTCCCGGGGACAAACTTTCAATTTTCAATTTGAACCCCCCCCCCCCCCCCCCCCCCTCAAACTTACGATTTGCACCCCCCTCCCCTCAAATTATTATATTTTGCTACTTTTTGCCTTGGTATCACCCCCCTAAATGGTGTCACCCGGTGCGGTCCGCACCCCCCCCCCACGCTACGCCTCTGCTATTGTGTGATCTGTTTTGTCTTCTGATCACTTCTGTTCAACAAAAAGAACTTGTAATAGTATTTTTACAATGCAACAAAGCACGGATTATATATATATATATATATATATATATATATATATATATATATATATATATATATATATATATATATATATATATATATATATATATATATGGCGTTCCCATTACCCCGAAAACCTGCACCAGATCCTTGGGTTTTAATCTACACGGGCTTTGGCTAATCTGTAACGTCACTGTTCCCAAGGCAAATATATAAATTATATTACTTGACCTCAGAATAAAAATATGATATTCAAATGAATAAAGTAATGTAACCACTTTTTCAATTTTTGTTTTATTCTATTATTAAATGGAATCACGCCCTTAAAAGGGTCATCCATAAATGACGTAACGCTTTTTTGGATGATTTTTACCTCCTTCCCTCCCATCCGTCACACATCGTCACAAAAAGCCAGCCCTCTTCCCTCCCGTAAAATGCAAAATAACAGCTAAAACTCGTTTTCTAACATTGCTTTTTTTATAATGCAAAATTGTAACGTCACACCATCTGAACCCCCCCCTCCCCACACACCGTCACAAAATTACAGACCCCCTCCCCCCTACGAGTATGACGTTATTTATGGACGACTCCAGATAAATTTAACTCGCAACAAGTGAACATGTTGTTAACATGTTAACTTGTTGGAAGTTATATTTATTGTTGTTTATCATTTTTGTCTTTAAAAGTACAAACAAATTCTGTCGCACTTTTTTAATCCCCCTCCTTCCATCTCATCACAAATCTTTAAATAAGTTAGATCCCCCCCCCCCCCATCCCGAAATGCAACATCATTTATGTACTCTCTCTCACCCACCGACTACATGGGTAAAATTTATAGACAATTGCAGAATTTTAATTAACCAAAAAATTAAGTTTAAAAATGTGTACACCATTCAATAGCGTCTTTAATTTGTCTATACACAGGAGTCAAATGAGAACACAAACGCCCCGAAAAATTATTGCGTCTTACAAATCAATGTTGTGGATGTGGACGACATGAACCCAGTATTTGATCAGTCCAGTTACCGCCTGCAGCTGAACGAAAGTGTAAAACACATATACTTGCATGTTTTCATTTTTGTTAAATAACATCTTGTCATCATTTTATTTTGTGTGTGGCGCAGATTGCAGAGGCGTAGCGACCCCTTTCGTCGCCTGGGGCGAACTTTCAACTTGGTGCCCTAATATATATATATATATATATATATATATATATATATATATATATATATATATATATATATATATATATATATATATATATATATATATATAAGCGCTCCCACCCACCACCTTTATTCTTATTTTACTGTTCCACAATACGCTTTAATAGAATTGGTTTCTTTTCTAAGTGATAAAGGTTATCTACTCAAATGCCCGAATGGACACTTGCCCGAATGCGACAAATGCCCGAATGCCACTTGCCGCATTTGTCGCATTCGGGAAATCGGCCTTCGGGCAAACGGCATTCGGGCAAGTGTCTATAGGGAATTTGTTGTAGACCCGTGCCCGGGGCGCACCCCCCCCCCCAGTTACGCCTCTGGCAGATAGCTGGAATTTATATTCATAAGAATGACCGAATTCTCCGTTTGTTTAGCTTGGTGTATAATAATCATCTTTTCCTTTTTGTGCCCAAAACAGAGAGGCCACTTTTGTCGGTCCCCCATGACAGTGCTGCCTCTGCCAGCTCCACGTCTCTCTTGGCCTTCCTTGCTTTCTTTTTTCTTGTTGCCGTCCAGTTTAGCGCTATTCATGCAATATCATCTGAATTCATTTTTAGGACTCTGTGTATAATAACAAAATAAAAAACAACAGCAACAACAACAGAAAACAACAACACCCATACAGTTGTACATCACCAAACGAATATCTTCCCCAGACTAACATATTTCCTTTCCTCGCCCCACCAGATGTACAGCCCGACGCAGTATTTCCCCACAGTTCCACCGGTGTCTGCACATGATGGGGATCTGACCATCAACACGAACATTTCCTTCACAGTCGACACCAGTAGGTGGCTCTTGATGTGTGGGTGTGTGTATGGGGGGGGGGGGGGATTTGCTTGGAAAAATGGGAAGTGGGAAAGGACGTATAGCGGATACAATATGATATCTAACAAAGGCTACACTGCGAAGATATAGCATGTGGGGTAATATGACGATAAAATATGTTCAAGTACCATTGTGACTTGAAATTCTGGTCACCATAGCGATTACATTTCAGGATCTGTAGGCTCAGAGGCGTAGCGAGGGGGGGGGGGGGGGACGGGGGGTACATATGTCCCCGGGCGCCGAACCTAGGGGGCACCAAAATGGGTTTGAAAAAAAAGTTAAAAGCTTATTTTAGCTGTAGTTTTGCATTATAAATATAAAAAAATATATATGGAGGGGGGGGGGGGCGGGCGCCAAACTAAAAGTTTGTCCACGGGGGGGGGGGGGGGGGGGGGGGAGAAGGGTCGCTACGCCTCTGTGTAAGGCGAGTTTGGAAATTATCGTCACCAATAGTTCATAGCCGCCTCCTGTACGGCCACCGTATCACGCTGATTCGTGTGTGAATCACTGCTTCGCTATTCGGATTTCGCCGATTGTTTTCAGACAGATTTCCGATGAATAACGAAATTGACGATAGGGGGACTAGCTCAATACGACAAAACTGGTGTTTGACAACACACACGGAGGGTGTGCAGGAAGATATTGCTATAGAATTTGCTCCAGGTGCCTGAGGCACAACTGCAGCTCCTCGCTGTACTGATAAGGCCATTTTGACCCGCTGGCTCCACTTGTGGCACATATTAATGTGTCAATCCCAAGTTCTCGTTGCCAATTTTTAGATGCTGAAAAAGGCGCTTTAGGCAGGGTGTATCAACAATGTCATTTCCAGACCCCCACCCCACACAAATTCCCCCCCCCCCCTCCTATCATCTTCTTCAGCCTGGTGTGGGCATGTGGAAAATTGTTGACAAACAATTTGTCTTTGATTGTAGGTTCTCAGAACATTTACGGAAGTAAGTTTATCCTGAGCCCGACAGGCTACATCGCTGTGAACGGATCACTTGAACAAGGGCTGTACAGTATCAATATCAAGGTAAATAAACATTCGGTTGGCTAAAATAAATCGCCCATTTAAAAAAAATTAACTTATATTAAACATTGTTTGCTTATTTATTACCAGGCGTTTCAACAGGATAACCCAATTTCTCGATTTGCCGTAGCGGTGTTAACGTTAAGCGTCACTGGGGTCAATAAGTTCAAACCGGAAATGACCAGAAGCCAGTACCAGCTGAACGTGTCAGAGTTAGCACCTGTTGGTTTGATTCTGCTAACGGTTGCCGCCACTGATAAGGATTCGGTTAGTATTTTTCAATACATTAATAATTAATATCTAGATATCTAGATCTTGATCTAGAAATCTAGATCTATAGATTCTAGGCCTAATGTTCTATATTGTGAATGTAAAATTAAGCTGCTTTTAATTAATTAACTATGATATCACTTAAAAACGTTGTTAGTTTATATGACACAACTTAAAATCTTAAAATTAAATAGTCTAATAACTTTTAATAAGGGGGTCTCCATAAATGACGTCACACTCGTAGGGGGGAGGGGGTGGTCCGTAATTTTGTGACGAGGGGGAGGGGGGGGGGGGGTTCAAATGGTGTGACGTCACTTTTTTGTATATAAAAAAGCAGAGTTAAAAAACGAGTTTTAGCCGTTATTTCGAGTTTTAGAAAACGGTTTTAATACATTTTAATAGGAATTGATCAAAATACTCTATGTTGGCAGAGTTCTGACACGATTTTGGAAAAATATCGATGTTTTAAGAAAAATTCAACATCAATATTGAGGGGGGTTGTAGGCTGAGGTGTGACGCCATTTTAGGGGGGGGGGGGGGTAAAAATCGGCAAAAAAGCGTGACGTCATTTATGGATGACCCCCTAAGTAAATATTAACTAAATAAATACATTACCTTCATACTAATATTTCTAATAAATAATAAATTGATAATAAAATAATATACTAAACTTGCATCAACATGAGATTGAACTGTTTCAATGATAACATTGCAATTTATATAGATCTAGATCAATTTATCAACAGGGAGACAATGCGGTTTTCGAGTTTGTTCTGGACAATAATGTAGACGCCACATTTAGAATAACAACTGACCAGGGTCAAGGAATAATTACTCTGTTGAAGCCACTTGACAGAGAAACTAAAGCGTCATATTCACTGCAGGTCTGATTCATTTCATTAGTTTTAAAAAGTTTAATTTTGTTGAAAACAAAACAAACTTAACGTCTATAAATTAAAAAAAAAACATTTTGTTGTATAATATTATAATTGATTGTAGAAACACTCATAATCTTGATAGGAATATGTAGATGTACTTACATTTAGCTTCAAAGTCATCTATGTATATAACTATTAACTCATTAACTTCTCAGCGTCATTTTGACAATGATAGAATTGCACAAAATCTCCTCTTTTGGTCAGCATTTAACTTATATGCTAGTTTTTCTGTTCCTTGTTGTAACAATGTTAGATTTCGCTCATCTGATCTACATGCAGTAGACTGTTTCTGTTTTTTATGAATCTTGATGTAAAGGATGATTATCTGCGGTCATTCTGTGCCTGCAGCCTTCATATTTTTTCTTTTGTTAGTATATTACACTGATCAGTTTACTGTTGCTATATTTATTATTTGTATTGTGCAAAAAAAAATTAAAATTAAAGATTTTTCTTTCCAAATGATAAAGTAAATATCTAAATTTATATGAATTGAATAATTACAATTTAATTAATCTAAAATGATTTTAACAGGTTTACGCTCAAGAAACTAAAACTGCAGAGAAACTCAAAAGTAATTTTAGCATCATTAGCATCACAGTGCTGGATGAGAACGACAACTCTCCCAACTTTACGCAACAGAGTTATCTCTTTACCATCAATCGTACTGGCGCAATAGGAACTCCTGTAGGGACGGTAAGCTCTCTATAGTTCATTCAGTGTGTCTAGCATAGGATGATTGGCTGTTAAATGTTGTATAGTGTGGTTGGCTATTACCAGCTCAATAGGCACTCCTGTAGGAATGGTAAGCTCTCTATAGTTCATTCAGTGTGTCTTGTACTGTGTGGTTGGCTTTTATGTGTTATATAGTGTGGTTGGCTATTTACCAGTTTATCAAGTTTTAAACTTCTTATCAAAAGACAGGACGATACATGTATATATGTACATATACACCTACATAATGTATATATGTGTATATGTATATGTATATATATATATATATATATATGTATATATATATATATATATATATATATATATATATATATATATATATATATATATATATATATATATATATATATATATATATATATATATATATATATATATATATATAATGTATATATGGGTATATGTATATGTATATACATATGTATATATGTTTATATATATATATATATATATATATATATATATATATATATATATATATATATATATATATATATATATATATATATATATATATATATATATATATATATATATATATGTAAAATATCTTATATATGATCATATACACATATGTATATCTAAATAAACAGATAAATGCAACAGATCCTGATGAAGGTCTCAATGGCCAAGTTTTATATTCCTTGCAACCATCAACTGATTTTTCAATCAACTCTCAAAGTGGGCAGATTTCTCTGAAAAAAATTCTCTCAACTTCAGATGTTGGCACAAAATATGTCACAGCCATAGCTACTGATAACAGTGCCATTGTTCAGAACAGAAGGTTGGTTTTCTGACAATTATAAAAATGTTGAGTTGCTACTAGACTTCATTTTCTTTCTAGACTGGAATGATTAAAATTATTCGTATAGGATTATAAGATAATATAAAAACATCACACAAATAAAATTGATAGGTGTCAATGCAACTCCTTATGTTTATTTTATCTAACATTAATTTTTGTTTTTCCAAAAATATATTTGTTTTGAATTATATTGGACAGTATTTTTTGCATATATTTTGAGGAATACAACCTAATCAGTTTCATTTAGAAATTAAATAAATTTATATAAATGTTTTACCTGTTATTTCAGGTCAATAGTTGTTGAGATTGCAATTAATGTATTATCTGTAATTTCAGGTCAACTTTTTTTGAGATTACAATTAATGTGTTACCTCTAATTTTAGGTCAACTGTTGTTGAGATTGCAATTAATGTTTTACCTGTAAATGACCAAGCACCTGTTTTCTCTACCACTTACACTTTTAACATTTCTGAGACCACACCTCCTAACACTGTGATTGGCCAATTGAAAGCTAATGATCCAGATGGCGACACTGTTATGTACTTTATCCAATCGGGGAACTCGGATAGTTGTAAGTCTTTTTGTTGGGATAAAATCTTACTAATGAAGTTACATATTCTTTATAATTTTCAACTGTTTTGAAAAATACATACGTTTTATTTTTTGTTGGTTCTAGAGAGTTATGTTCAAATATAATAAAAACATTTTAGCATGGTGACATGAGTTATATCATATAATATACATTCACAGTTTTCCAACTTGGGCAGTCAAATGGTGTGCTCACTCTAATTAAAGAAAATGATTTGGACGTTGACTCACCAAAGTTGATGTTCAAGCTGGTGGTGGTAGCAAGTGATGGTTTCCACAACACATCTACAGATGTTAATGTTAATTTCTTGTACGTCAATGAGTTTGACCCCGTCATCCAGCCAATCCAGAGGGTTCAGTTAAATGAAACCGCTGCTAAAAACACTATAATTGTTAAAGTAAGTTTTCACCTTTTGTGTTATATTTACACTTTTTATGTAGCTTAAATTATTTAATGGTATAAATATTTTTGTTTAGGTAGTGAACAAAAAGGCTAGCCAAGTAAAAATGTAACTGAGACATTTCATTCAGGTTAAAGCTACAGACAAGGACAGGGGCGCAGATGGTGTGTTAACATACTCTCTAGTTCCAGCCTCCAACTTTAGTATAAACTCAGCTACAGGGGAGATAACCTTAGCATGTGATCATTGTCTTGACTACAACATAAAACAGAGCTATGATCTCTTTGTATTAGTAGAAGATGGTAAGTTTCTTTTTTTTTAAATTTTACTTTTAAGGTAAAATAACATGTTTATTATAAACATTGTAATTTTATCAATACAAAAGCTGGTTAAATTTTAATTTTTCCACCCAAAAAATGTTTTAATTTTTTATATATTTAAATTTAATCTGTTGTTCTCAGGAGGAAACCCACACAAGTTCAGCTTCACTACATTTACTGTAGCCATTACAGAAATTATTCTTGTTTCACCAAAATTCTCACAAAAAAACTACGAAGTTTCATTAAAAGAAAACCAGAAAAACAATACAACTATATTGCAGGTAAATTTATTTATGATAATTATATATCAGTGATACTGTTGTGATTTTGTTTGTGATACAGTGCTCTTTTGTGACACTGACTGGGTTATTGTGTTTGTGACATGCACAATACTAGACTGGAGAGTGTACATCAGGGTATTGTAATAAAATAGCAGCTTGTTTCACTCTATATCAACCAACAAGATCTTGTATTCCCTTGACAATAAATTTGTATCAGCTGCTGAGGTTGTTTGAATATTTTTAACATTGTATGACCTGTATACTTTGCCCATGTCCAAAATCTCCAATGACCCATATAATTTGTCCATGTCCAAAATCTCCAATGACCCATATAATTTGTCCCTGTCCCACATCTCCAATGACCCATATAATTTGTCCATGTCTCACATCTTTTTATCACAAATTCTAAAAGAGGTTGTATCTTCACCCTTATAATAATTGTTTAATAAACTTTCAAGTGAAAACTGCTTAGAAATGATTAAAAAGCAGTTAATGCCAGTGTAATAAATTACTGGTTTATTTCTTAGTTACTGTAATTTATTCAGTAACATATTTTTACAAGCAGACATTAAAACTATCTATACCTTGCTCCTTATGAGATTTAAGTTAGCATGTAATTATAAACATTAAAAAATTATTTGTTGAACATTCAGCTGAAAGCAACAGACCCAGACACCCCAGACAATTTGTTAACCTACGGACAAGTATACCCTATACCAGCTGCAGCTTTATCTTGTTTTGTTCTCCCAAATGGAACTGTTGTATGCAACACATTGGATGCAGAAATAAATGATATTATAGTATTTGGTAAGTTGTAGAATGATTGCATATTTTTTTACAAAGATATTCAAGAGTGACCTCCCGTCCCATTATACGCCTATATATATATATATATATATATATATATATATATATATACATATATATATATAATATTTTTAGCAGCATTGATTGTATATGTATATAACAATGAAATTAAATTATTTTCATTCAGATGTTAATGTAACGGATGGGAGCAATATAGATACTGCAACTATAACAATCCATGTTTTGGATGTTAATGATAACTCACCTAATATAGATTCAATTGGTCCAATAAACTTACCAGAAAACACACCTGTTGACCAGGTAGGTCAACCTATTTATTAAGTTTACTAAATTTTAAAAAGATTTTTCAATTTCAACGGTAATTATAGTTTTAATAGCAAAAGTTGAGTAAACTTTTTAAATAACTTTTAAAGGGCAGAGGCAAAAGTATGCTAAAATTTTGCTGAACTGTTTTCATGCCTGTTAATTTGCGTTTATGTTAATTTCTTTGTTGATTTTTAATTTTTACTAATTTTTTGTGTTATTTGATTTACTAAAAAAGTAGTGTTTTTTATGAGCAAGTAGTAAATTTCTCAATCTGAATATAATTATATGAGCATTTCTTTTAAATTTGGTTTTAATCATAATTTTGTTAATGGAATACACCTTGAAGTCTGTTTTATAAAAATGAGAAATACTTCAAAGAAACAAAACTCAAAATAAAATGGCACAGCTCAATTATGCTTTTAAATACATTTTCAGCTCGTCTACACAGTGAAGGCCACAGATCTTGATCGTAGCAATGAAGGCTTCACATTTTTCTTGGTCGATGGAACTGATGGAAAATTTATCATTAATAGAAGCACAGGAGCTGTCACTACAGCTGGTGTCTTTGACCGAAGTGAAAAACAGACATACAATGTTGATGTATGGGTCAGCGATCACGGCACTCCACCAAGATACAACTCTACAACACTTGTTGTCAATATTGTAGATTCCAACACAGCGCCAGAGTTTGTAGATACCCAGAATAACAGGACATCTGAATTTGTTTTTGAAGTCAATGAGAATTTAACTATTGGAAGTTTGATTGGGTCGCTACATGCCCGCGACCCAGATTCTGGTTCCTCAGGCAGGCTTAGCTTTAGTATCCAAGGTGGCGACCCAGATAAAGTGTTCATGCTAGGAAGTAGTGATGGAAATTTGGTGCTTGCAAAGTCTCTTAATTATGAATCACAACAGACGTACACGCTGACCGCTGTGGTGGCTGACCAATCCGTTTCTGCACTGTCAGCAACAGCCAGGGTAACCGTTAATGTTAAAAATGTAATCGAGGCTCCGCAATGGCCTCTCCCATTTCCTGTGGTCTACCTGACTCAGTCCACCACCTGCAACTTCAACGTCCAGGCGTTCTCTCGTGAAGTTACAACAGTGGCAAGCAAGGGGGACGAGCCGGTGGAGTATAAACTTCTCAACATGACAAGTTACTTCACAATAAACAAAACATCGGGATTATTGAGGGTTACAAGACCCCTAAATGCCAGCCAGTATTCAATAGCTTTAGCAGCTTGCAGTGGAGATGTCTGCTCCAACGCTGAGCTCACAGTTGTTGTGCGAACAGATGACATCCTGGCCTTCTGCCCAGCTTTTGTCAATGTTTGGATAAATGAATCTTCACCAATAAACTACACTGTAATTGACCTGAACACAAACAAAGGGGACATTGATTTGCAGTACACGATTACATCAGACAATGACACTAACGATTTTTACATCGACGCTAAAAATGTAAATATTTTTTTTTTATTTAGTGGTCAAATTTTTGGTTTCCAGCTATTTATAACTTGATATTTAAAAAAAAATGGGTCTAAATATTTTTGAATTTATCTTTATTTTACAACTGAAAACATTTATCACAGGGAACATTGTTTGTGAGGAATAAGCTGGACAGAGAGACTATAGAAAAATATAACTTGTTGATTGAAGCTGTAAAATCAAGCTCTCAGGAGACTGCCACTGTCCAGGTAAATTTTTTTTGCCTAATGAATCTTGTTTTTACTACACTTTAATTACTGAAAATTTAAAAATGGTTTTCACTACACTTTAATTATGTAAAATTTTAAAATGGTTTAGCTACATTTTATTACATACAATTAAAAATGCAGTGATTAGTGAATCTTGTATGAAGAACCAAATTGGTAACATGTTCAGTGACCTAATTTTAATGTTTATTTTAAGACAATATTTCCCACAATACACATTAACTCTTACCATTTAGCATAAAAACATCTAAGTAAACTTATAACCTTTATGTGGTTTCACTATTTTTAACAACGCTCTAGGTAATTATAAGATTAACAGATGTACCTGACGAAGCTCCCACGTTCCTTAGCACTAAATTTGAAGGTGAAATAGGTGAGGATGCTAAGCCAGGAGATCCAGTTCATTTAATGGGGACTTCAATTGACCTCACTGTCAGTGCAACAGATAAAGATTTACACGCATCTGTAAGTTTTATTTATTGATTAAAATTTGATACAACTATTGAAATTGTTGCAGGCATTTTGTTCTTAAAAGAAGTTTATTATTATAAGTTTAACATCTCTTTATTAATTAGCTAATTAACAGTGTTGTAGACATCATGCTTTTTATTATCCACTTGTTTTATGAATTTATTTTCAGCTGTCTTACAGCATCAGCAATGAAAATGATACGTCAGCAGGGTCGTTTTCTGTCAATGAATTTGGCGTTATTGCTTTGAAGAAACCTATTGATTATGAGGGCATGGCAAAGGAATTGAGTGGGATATATTCTTTTTATGTACGTTTTTCCTTTAATAATTTGTTATATTGTGAAAAAATATCAATAGTTGATGAAGTAAAGTTAGAAGATCCCACATATATCCTGCTTGTCATAGCTACATAATAACATTAGGTGTGGGGATTTTAAGGACATAACTCTGCCTGGTGTGTGTGTGGGGGGTTTAGGTACATAACTCCGAATAGCCTTTTTAAGATCAGGTTCAGCCAACAAGCTAGCTGTCCCAGGGTTCAAATGTCAGCCATTTATATTTTGAATTTTTGTTAAATTTAAACCATCTTTACTCTGTAGGTTGTTGTGACAGATGGTATCTTCAACACTTCTGTGAGGGTTGTGGTTCACGTGCTGGATGCTAATGACAACTCTCCAACATTTGATGACCCTGGTCTCCTGTGGCTCAATGTTTCTGAGGTAAACAGTGTAAACAGTGTAAACAATGTAAACGGTGTAAACAGTGTTAACAGTGTAAACAGTGTAAACAGTGTAATCAGTGTAAACAATGTAAACAGTGTAAACAATGTAAACAGTGTAATCAGTGTAAACAACACACATGTGTGTGTCTTTGTGACATTTACACATACACACTCTCTATATATAACCAAGGAGTGGGTTGTATAAAATATAAAAATTTTTGATAAAGCAATAAGTTATTGGCACACACACATGACAATTCACGTTAATGTATATCATGTGGAATATTTGAAGGACTCATACCCGAGAGAAATTGGCAGAGTCAGTGCCAAAGACAGAGATTCACTGGATGCAGGAAAGCTGGAATACTTTTTGGACATTCTCTCACCTGTGTGTATGTATCACTCAGTTTTATCTTTAACACATACAAACTATTCAGTCATTAATTGTCAGTAATTTTTTCATATTTTCCCAAAACTATCTATCAATGATTGGTTGGTTTGGAATACAATGCAAAATATTTTTTAAACCATGACACAAACACTTGCACCAAATACCCTATTCCATGTTCTCCCACCAAGCCCCACCCTCTCACACATTTTAATATGACACACATATTTTGTTTATTCTACATCAGCAAAAGGAAATCCATTCTCAATAAATACAAGGACTGGGCAAATCAACCTGGAAGATGTCCTGGACAGGGAGAGGGTGGATGAATATTCACTCAGAGTAACTGTTGTAGATTCTGCTCAACATAATGTAAGTGTCATATGTTGGCCTATTGTTTTGTTATAACTTTTGTTTCATTGTATGGACATTTAGTTTTAAGATATTTTTAATGCAAATCTAAACCTTCTAAAATGTAGTTTAAATTGATAATTTGAATATGGCATTGAAATTATCGAAAGATTAATCCACATGTTGAAAAAAACCACATAACAGTTTCAAAGAAATATTTTGCAACTATTTTAAATTAAAATTATCCCATAAGCAAATAGGAAAATGCATTATGTATTATTTGCACTGTAGTTTTGTTAGTTTTTTTCTTCTTTGAATTAATTTATACAATTGAAAAAAGTTTTAAACCCACTATCTTAAAAAATTAGTCAAGTAGAATTTAATTTAAGGAAAAGTTAATAAACTATTTGAGTATAAGTACATTCTCATCTCATTAGATGGAGAAACTATGCCATTAAAACTAATACAAATTTATTTGGGAGAAACTATGCCATTAAAACTAATACAAATTTAGTTGGAGAAACTATGCCATTAAAACTAATACAAATTTAGTTTGGAGAAACTATGCCATTAAAACTAATACAAATTTAGTTTGGAGAAACTATGCCATTAAAACTAATACAAATTTATTTGGGAGAAACTATGCCATTAAAACTAATACAAATTTATTTGGAGAAACTATGTCATTAAAACTAATACAAATTTATTTGGAGAAACTATGCCATTAAAACTAATACAAATTTAGTTGGAGAAACTATGCCATTAAAACTAATACAAATTTATTTGGGAGAAACTATGCCATTAAACTAATACAAATAAACTATGCCATTAAAACTAATACAAATTTAGTTGGGTCTGGATGTGGGATGCTGATTAAAGCACTACAGGCCTACAATTTTAAAATATACATTTAGTTAGCCTAACATTGCTTCTATCTTATAAGGCCACAAAAGATATCAGAGTTACTGTCCTTGATGTTAATGATCAAGCGCCAACTTTTCCACTACAAAACTACTACTGGAATGTAACGGAAGGTAAGATAGCTTTCAATGGAGTTTAACACAGTATAGATGACTCTTCTCAATATGTTGTTTAGTATTTTTATACTTGCCCATTTAGCAGTTTTATAATCTACATAATTTTTATGAATATACCTAGTGTATGTTTTGTCATTGCAAAAACTATTTGTAATATAAAACTAATATGGTTTTAAAAGTTATATAATTTTTTTAATGTTGAAATGTTGCTGAACTTTTAACTAATTGTGTTTGTGATTAGAGGTTAATTTTGTTTCATGTCACTGATATTTTTTAAAAAATTGTCTTAATTTACGTGCATTTTGTTTGTATTAGCTGTAGACCATCTTTCTAAAGGTACCTTTCTAAAACATGAGTAAAATTATTGTATGCATAAAGAGTTTGGATCACCCCAACACCTCCCACCCCAGAACCTTCCCAAAAAAATGTCCAGTTTATGAACTGTGTATGTTACTTCAAGCTGTAACATGTTAAACAAACAGTTCAACAAATGATTTAACATTTCTGACATACCGAGGTTGTAAAGTACATCAAGTAATAATAGTTTCTTCTTCCTTCACATTTTTTGCTGAATAGAATTGTATACTGAATTAGCAATTACACAAATTTTAATACATTTTCAAATATAAAACCTGTTCAGTATATTTTTTCGTTACAAACATAAAGATAGAAATGTTTTAAAATATCTTTTTCCCGTTATGAAAATGTTTTTACTGAATTCTATGTCTAAATTGTATGTCTAAAAGAATACTAAAGTCCTTCTCCGGATGTCATCATAATATCGCTGTTTCAAACTATTTTTTTATGATTATTTAAACAACCATTTTTGTCTCTTAAAAAAGAAATAAGTCGAGGCAGAGTTAGTTTCAGAGTGTTGCATGAATGATCCATGCTTTCAGATCATGGACTAACGATCTCAGCAACTCCCAATTTTGTCATGTCAGGCCAGACAAAGTCTGTCATGATTAATTGCTCCTTTTCCCCTGCTGCCACAGAGCTCAAATATTTAACCACTTTAGTCATTTCACAATCCAGAAGAGGTGGACCATTTGAAGGTTAGACCGTATTTTATATTTAACTTTTTTTTCCATAGCTTAATCTGGAAAGTTTTTCTTATAAAATTAAAAAAATATTTAACTTATTAATTTAAGGCAGTTATAGGCACAGTTTAGTGATTGTTTATTTTATTTCTTCAACAGAAATAGCCAAGTACAATTCCTCAACTCCTGATGAATTTAATCATTATGTGGAAATGGTGTCAGCATTTATTTCAAAAGTTATCGCAAAAGATTCGTATTCTCCGTCTTACCTGTCCATGCAATGGATGTATCCTCATCAGCCAGACACCATTTACATGTGTGATGGATATGGTGTCAAGCAAAACAGTGAGAACTTCCACTACACATCCAGCATCAAAGTTTTCAACGTGGGTCAAACAAGCACAACCTATCTGCTCAATGAACTCCAGAAAGTTGGCTCTCAGCTGCACTTGCTGGAATCTGGCCAAACTTCTCTACACCAGGAGAATGACCTGTACAAAAACATCTTGTTCTTCAGCTCGGACGTGTATGATGGAAACAGATACAGACTTTTTAAGGTAAATGTTTTAGACAGCTTTTATTTTGGTTTGTTTTTTAAAGCTTTTTATTTAAGTTTGTTTTTGAAAGCTTTTATTTAGGTTTGTTTTAGAAAGCCTATTTAAAGTTAATTTTTTCAAAAGCTTTGATTTAGGTTAATTTTTTTTTAAGCCTAAAGTAAATCAGATTTTAAAAAATCTAATAAATAATTTTTTTTCTTTATTACTCACACTGCCAGCGATTTCAAACTGTTAAAAAAAATTGAGCATATTCTTTGAATTGACTTTGCAATGTACCAGCTAAAAGTGAAGCTTGTAGATTGAGGTTTAAAATGTGTTTCAGGTTCCCCAATGTGAGGGCCAGGGGTTCACTGCAGACAAAGCTGTTGAGACTTGTGCTGCCATGGGTGGACAGCTAGCCAGGATTGTGGACACTGCCCAGTTTGATTTCATCAAACAATTCCTCGAACATAACCTGGACGATACATTTAGCATTTTTATCAGTGGTCATGATGAGGCTACCAGCGACCACTGGGTTTACCATGGCAGTGATCTCCCTGTTACATTTTTTGATTGGGCAGACTCGGAGCCGTACGGCCATGTGTCTGACAACAAACATTGCATCGTGCTGGCGTTGTATGAATCAGGGATCAAGATGAGGACCAGTACATGTCATGGTGACACTGTCACAGATCGTACCTCGTATCTGTGCACTATGCCAGAGAAACAGTAACAACAGAGCGTGTCACATTTCTACTTTTGAAATAAAATCTTTGTTGCTAAATTAAAACCCTGCAATGTAAATTTTAAAATTGTTTTTTAACTAATAAATTCACATAAACAGACTTTTATGTTTTGAAGTACAGTTTTGCATCTTATTTTTTTATTGTTGAATCAATTGTAAAACAAGACTATTGTCGAAAAACCCTTTAAACCAGGAAATCATTTGTTCTTTGAAATTAAAATTTGAAACTTTGTTAATGTACTTGCTTAATATTAAATATATCTGGATATAGATAGAAGCCTAAACAATATAAAAATCATTGGCAGATATAAATAATTCTAAAGTAATTATAACAAGTTTATATAGCTGTTTATGAGCCATTGATCTTTGATTTATTCCTTTACAAGATAACCAGATTTTATTTTTATGAATTCTTAACTGGTGATTTGTTTTCACATATTATTTTGTTTCCTAATAGAGATGTTGACTAATCAGTTTAAAAAAAAAAAGGAATGGTTTAATTTCCATCACTATCACATTAAACAAATGTTTATAATTTGCCCCAAATAATTTGTTCTCCTGATTCTATCTTTACTGTTGACAAACAATTCTTTTGCCATTTGTTGTTTTGTGTAGAATCTTGTTAATACCAGTCTTCCAATTTAACTGTCCAGTACTGCCGTCATTGATACTTATTATAAATATCATTGAACTAGTAAAAGTAAACTATTTATTTCACAGTAAAAATAAAGGAATGGGCACATATTCATTTTTACTTATTCATCTTTGTCATGTTGTGATAATCATAATTTAATTTTTATTTAAAATATTTTCAACATCCTTAAAATTTATCAACTATATTTATTATAATTTTAGAATAAATATGCATAGAAAGTTCTTCATTTTTTTTTTACAACTGAACACACAATTTCTTATAATTAAGATAGGCCTACTATACAAAATATATTGGATGGTTACAAAAGAACAATTTATTTACATCAGATGAACCAAGCTTTATAAAATTTGAATCTCTAAAAGAGCAAGCTTCTCTCTTTGTTTAGTCTTCTACCTGATATTTCATTTAGGAGTTTAGGTAACACAAAATAGATACTTATACACTAACATATTAATATAAATTGAGCAAAACAGACAAATGTATATCCTGAGCATTTCGTGTTTTATTATATATATTTAGGATAGGACAGACACTAGATACATTTGTATAACACAGACATTTGTTTACCTCAGCAGTAGATAGAGACGCTACATAACAGACAGTGGATAAAAAGACAATATTTAGAAAGTATAGGCTACTAGATAACCAGGACTAGACATCTAATAGAACAATATTGATGAATGTAACGAATTTAACCGGATAAAAACATGCAATAAAAAAGTGGTTGTATTAAACAAAGATTACTGGAATAGCATTTACAGTGTTTTGTTTCCTTTTCTGCTAAATTTTATTTTTTATTGAATCCTTGCAGGTATCAGTGGATCAAGTTTAAACATAACAGCTTATGACAAGGATATTGGCAACAATTCTGTTGTTGAATACTCCCTGACAGAAGATACAAATTGTTCATTTACATTAATAAAAGACAGTTCAAATAATGTAAGTTGGATGTGAATGTTGTTATTACACAGGGATTGAGAAAATAATATTTGTTAACATTTGGAGCATAGTTGATTGAAGTCAATTTTTTATGTCTGCAATATAAATATTTAAGAAAACCATTTCATTTTTAATAACACTTTTTAGTATAATTATATATAATTATATAATAACTTTAGCCAATTATTGTTTTTGTTAATTTGTTTTTTCAAATAAACATTTTATTTTAATTATTTTTAAAATTTAGGTGTATGTTCAAGTTGTAAAGTCTCTGGACAGAGAACTTCTTCTATCTAATGGAGTTGCTCAAATTCAGTTGAAGGTTGAAGCTAGTGACATCCTACATGTAGGTACATCAGTAGCCTTGGGGTGTGTAATTAAGGTGGCTTATTACCTGAGCATTGTATCTAATGGGATTTTAAGTGTTGTTATGTGTTTACCACAGGATGAGTCAATAAAAATATCTGTTCAAAATAAAAGCTCATCAATATTAATGAGTATTCCTTTTTTGGCGTGTGTTGAAATTTTAAAATAGAAAATTCATTAATGTGTTTGAAAATTAGTTAATTAAAAAAACATGTTATTCCAGCTTGCCCCAGTAGCATACATGTTGTAATTATCATCAATCACATAGTGATGCAAATATTTTATGTAAACCCTACAGTTTTTATATTGGAGCAATTCTGTCTACTTTCAGACCTCCACCTGCACCATATTTGTTACAGTGATGGATATCAACGACAACCCTCCTGTGTTTTCACAAAGTCTCTTCACTGGGCAAGTAAAGGAGAACGCTAAAAACGCAACAGAGATACAGCTGGTAACAACTTCTTGGCTTCTTTTACATTCAGCTCGGCAATATAATAAACAAACTTCTGCAATAACTTACACCTGTTAACAGTTTTCTTGACTTCTTTCTCATCCAATCTGGCAATCTTAACATTTGTAACAGCTAACATTCAGCTGGTAGCAGTTTTTTTTTGCTTCTTTTATATCCAAGCTGGCAAGCTGACTTACAGCTGGCCACAATTATTAGATTATTTCCAAGTTGGTAATCTAACATTTTAGTAGCTTACACTAGCATATATTTTTAGCCATTTCTGGCATTTTAGAGGCTGAAGAGTATTGGGTATTTAAGTTTTCTTGTAAAACAAAAGCTTAATTTTAGAACAACTTTACCACTATAGATGTTAAAAACAAATTGTTAATTTTGTAATGATATATTTTCTAATACATACACATTTGATTAAACTACAAAGAACAAAGATGTTTCTTTTAGTCCCCAGCAATAACTGTGTCTGATGATGATGGCCCAGAGTATGGGAGAGAAACAGTTAGATTTAAACTGGCAGACAATAGTTCATTTTTTAGTATTGACCCTATTACTGGAAAACTATTTGTGAGATTTTTAACTGTACAAGATCATTTGGATAGAGAAACAAATTCTGTTTACAACGTGATGGTAATTAAATGGTTTTTTTCCTATCTATAAATCATCATAATCATTTTCCGTTTGTGCCTAAGACACAAGGAGCAGATGAAGTAGAGTTTGTATGATTAAGAGACATTGGCATATGAAGGAAAAGTGTGGTCAGCACTATGCTGCCTTTGTTTTCCTAACGTAAGTTGGGTACCTGTCAGAGCTGTGTGGACTCAGGGATGTTCCACTGATTTGAATCTGGATTTGAACTTTAGACTCTCAGGTTAGCAGTCTAGCTCTCTACCGTTAGGCCATGCTGTCCCATTATCTATAAATAATTGTACTTATTTCTTTTGCTAATGGGGTTGAACTCAAATTAAACATTAACAATACTAAAATCATGAAACAGAATACAACTAACTAAGAACCTATTAAAATAAAAAACACACAAGCAGGGGAAGTGAAAGATTTCTCATTCCACGACAGCACAAAAGGAAAAAGAAAACAATAAATACTATCTTAAGATAGCTGTTCACTTATGCTGATTTATTAAATGCGATGGTATAACTCAAGATAAAATCTAGTAATAACTGATCTCAATAGAATAATAAGTTAACTATTTTAATATAAAATAAATATATATTAGTGCAGTAATTTAATCAATATGTAGCCTTCATTCAAACAATAATTTGGTTGATCTTTACAAACCTATCAGAATGATCTTTTAAGTAAAAGTATATTTGTTTATTGTTCCAAATCCGTATGAATGATCTTTTAAGTAAAAGTATATTTGTTTATTGTTCCAAATCCATATGAATGATCTTTTAAGTAAAAGTGTATTTGTTTATTGTTCCAAACCTATAAGAATGATTTTTAAAGTGAAAGTATATTTGTTGTTCAGGTCATTGCTACGGATGATTATGGCAAGGGCTTTTCTGCAAATGCCAGCATTGTTGTAAATATCACAGATGTCAATGATGAGAAGCCAGTGTTCAAGAAAAGTTCCTACATATTTTCTGTACCTGAAGATGCTCAAATAGGCTATACTGTTGGTAAACTAGATGCGCTGGATAATGACACAAGTGGTGGCATTACATTGTATTCCCTTGTTGGTTCAGACATGTTTGCTATTGACAGCATCACAGGTTAAAATATTTTCTTTTTCTTTCACTAATGCAATATCAATAGTGATATCATATTGATGATGACAAAAATCTCTTTAATTTTGTTAAATGTGTCTAAAATGTAAAAGTGAAAAAATTAATATAACATATAAAATAGTTTTTAAAAAAAATCATCATGTTCCATAGACCCAAACAAGTTCTGTTATTTCAGGAGTTATAAAAGTGACTGGGCGTCTTGAAGGGAAAATATCTTCGCTAACATTAAATGCTACAGCCACTGATTTTGTAAATGGCTTCAGCTATGCCGTGGTCATCATCAACATCACAGATGTCAATGACCACTGTCCGGAGTGGGATCCTGCCTCCCTCACTTTCAGTGTTAGCGAGACTGGTCAGGCGGGAGATTTTATTGGTCAGCTAAATGCCAGTGATGCAGACTTTGGTGCCAATGGGGCTGTTTCATATTACATCAACAACACAGGTAGCTGCACGTTGAAATACTGGAGTCTTATGTTAACACAGCTTTCTAATGTTTGATTTACAACTGATTAATGAAACTTAACAAATCTTTTTAATGTTTTTTTCATCCAGCTGCAGATCTGTGGCTTCATATTTCACAGACAGGGAATATAACTCTGCTAAAAGCACCGTCAGGTGTGGCGTATGACTTAAATGTTTATGCGACTGATGGCGGAGACCTACCCTGTGTTACACAAGCCAAACTTCACATTAATGTTATTGGTGTAAATAGATATCCCCCTGAGATCTGCTATAATGACGTCTGTGGAGTTCAGTCTGCAACGGTTTGTAGACTAAACTTTCAGTCATTTCTGTGCAATCATTGATTTCTGTATTTTAAAATTCACTAGTAGAATTGTGCAAATTTTAAATTCTTGTTACAATAGTTTTGAAGAATATTTGATACTATCTGTAAAATATCATAGACATTACAGTTAATGATTATATTTTTAACACACTTTAAAATTATGTTTAATAACAAATGATAAATGAAAACAAGTTAAGTATTTATTGATATAACTTGTTTTTATTTATGTTCGATAACCATCAGTTTAAGTACATTAAAATACAACTATTTGCTTAAATTTTAATTATTAAAATGTTTGAAAAAAAAATCATCAGTAAAAAATAAACTTTCCACAGTTTGATTTTATACCTGACAAATCAAAAATGGGCTCAGTCATTGGCCAGATTTCTGCCAGGGACAATGATACTGGGATTAATGGGAAGGTTACATTTAGCCTTGCTGGCAATGGAAGTGATTTCATTAATGTTTCTGATTTGGGCTTCCTTACTCTGAAAAAAAATATTGATTTAAAAAAGATGGTAAATAAATAGACTTATTGTTAAAAACCAAAAAATTAGCCATTAATTAATTGTAATTTAAGTTTTCTAAAAAAATAACATTTAAATTATTTTAATAGATGAGCTCAATCTTATAAAGCGCATCTTCCTTTATGTTTGAAAGGGCAATCAAGTTCTTCCTAACAATACTTTAAAAGTGACCATCTTGGCAATTGATGGAGGAACAGACCACAAGACTGCCAACGCAACACTAGTGATTCGTATTATGGGAGCAGTAGTCATCAGTTTCAGCAATATCAGCTACACTTTTAATGTTGATGAAAACAAAAACAACAGTACATACACTTTTTATATATACTAAATCTAGTAGAAACAACAGTACATACACTTTTTATATATACTAAACCTAGTAGAAACAACTCTTAAAAGCCTTGTAAAGATAAATTGGCTCATAACAAAATGATGTTTATCATCCTATCCTTCTGTTCATTTTTTTAAGCTGATTTAGCTTTCTCTCTGTATACATGTTTTAAATATTATCATGTATTTGTTTAAAATATATAAAAAGACCTTATGTTTTAAAATATTTTATCTAGTTAACCCTTTTCAATCTCATTAACTAAAGAAAACAATGATTCACCCCTTTCTGTATCGTATGGCAGCTTTTGTTGGTAGAGTTGAAGCCAAATCTGACCTATCCAATCAAATCAGCTATACCATAATAACAAAGGATGTTCCTTTCAAAATAATTGGCACAAATGTAAGTATTTGCTTTCTTTTTCCTTTAAGGACACAGTTTGTTACCAGTTTCAACCCAATTGTTTGAAACTGTTCTTGTTAATCAATGCTGAACCTCTAAGTATTAAACTATTATTTTTCTAAACATCAAGGGTACAATAACCACAACCTCAGCGCTGGACAGGGAAGTGAAAGAGAGTTATGTGTTCATAGTTTCAGCTAGTGATGGACAGGGCTCATCCAAAGTGTTGGTCAGTTTTACTTGTTTTACTAAACATTATTACTTACGCTAAATAAAGTTAATTTTTAACTAGTATATATATAAATCTTAAAGCCCAAAATACATTCTCAACAAAATGATGAGTTTCTAAATATATGAAGCCCAAATACATGCATAGATGAAAGACTTTGTCCAAATATCCATCAAGTTAATGCTCTTATTAAATTTTTAATTTCATTTAATTCAAAATATCCAAATAAAATAGCAATACAATGAATAAAATGTTAATATGTTTTTAGTGATTTATTTAGGCTTCTCTTGAATTTGGCAAATGTAAATATACATTGTTAAAAATTTTCTTTTGATTTTGTCTTTGTGAAAATAAATGATGAGAAATATTTTCCTTGATTTAGGTGATTGTAGAGATAAATATTTTCCTTGATTTAGGTGATTGTGGAGATAAATGATGAGAAATATTTTCCTTGATTTAGGTGATTGTGGAGATAAATGCTGAGAAATATTTCCTTGATTTAGGTGATTGTGGAGATAAATGCTGAGAAATATTTCCTTGATTTAGGTGATTGTGGAGATAAATGATGAGAAATATTTTCCTTGATTTAGGTGATTGTGGAGATAAATGCTGAGAAATATTTTCCTTGATTTAGGTGATTGTAGAGATAAATGGTAAGAAATATTCTCCTTGATTTATGTGATTGTGGAGATAAATGCTGAGAAATATTTCCTTGATTTAGGTGATTGTGGAGATAAATGATGTGAATGAATTTGCCCCAGTGTTTGATGACAACAGCATCACTGTGTTAGTAGAAGAAAATCAGATCAAACCCAACCTGGTCAGTGTGCACGCCCATGATGACGACGCCACTGATAATGTTGTCACTTATGAGCTGCTAGATAGTGAAGCATGTAAGAAATTTTTTTTTGAAATACTGCTCATCACGCAATACATATTCTTCAATAATGTTTATGTAAAATAAGTAAAAAAAATTTTATGACATACAATTTTGATTTCTTTTGATTACTTTTTTTTTTAAAGATAACTGTTGACCTAATAATAACATCTTTTCCACATAGTTCCACAGTTTAATGTTAGTGAGAAAACTGGTAGCATTAATCTGGTGAGACCCTTGGATGCAGAGAAGGAGAGAAATTACACCCTGCACATTATGGTAAGATAACTTTAGCATTCTACAGTAACATTTTTGTTTCAAAATATTAAAAGGTATAGACTTGTACTGTTAAGTGTATTAAATGCCTATGGAAATTTATGAAGAACTATCAGTTGATTTAAGTATACACAGTGCTTTTTAAAGGTTCACTAAAACACAGTTTAATTTCTTTACAGGCAAAAGTTTTTAAAAGTTCACTAAAACACAGTTTAATTTCTTTACAGGCAAAAGATGCAGGGACCCCTGAGAGAATTGCAACGGCCACAGTCACTGTTGAAGTTTTGGATGTGAATGAATATCCTCCAGTGTTTGAAAAACTTTTTTATGAATTTAATATAACCAAGTCTGACACGATTCCTCAAGAGGTTAGCTCTTTGTTGAATTCATTTAAAAAATATGATATATTCCATTGTTTCATCCATCTCACCTGAACTCATCCATCTCACCTGCTCATCTATCTCACCTGAACTCATCTATCTCACCTGAACTCATCTATCTTACCTAAACTCATCCATCTCACCTGAACTCATCTATCTCACCTGAACTCATCTATCTTACCTAAACTCATCCATCTCACCTGAACTCATCCATCTCACCTGAACTCATCTATCTCACCTGAACTCATCTATCTCACCTGAACTCATCTATCTCACCTGAACTCATCTATCTTACCTAAACTCATCTCACCTGAACTCATCTATCTCACCTGAACTCATCTATCTCACCTGAACTCATCCATCTTACCTGAACTCATCCATCTCACCTGAACTCATCTATCTCATCTGAACTCATCTATCTCACCTGAACTCATCTATCTCACATGCACTCATCCATCTTACCTGAACTCATCCATCTCACCTGAACTCATCTATCTCACCTGAACTCATCCATCTCACCTGAACTCATCCATGTCACCTGAACTCATCTATCTCACCTGAACTCATCTATCTCACATGCACTCATCCATCTTACCTGAACTCATCCATCTCACCTGAACTCATCCATCTTACCTGAACTCATCCATCTCACCTGAACTCATCCATCTCACCTGAACTCATCTATCTCACATGCACTCATCCATCTCACCTGAACTCATCTCTTTCACCTGAACTCATCCATCTTACCTGAACTCATCTATCTCACCTGAACTCATCTATCTCACCTGAACTCATCTATCTCACATGCACTCATCCATCTTACCTGAACTCATCCATCTCACCTGAACTCATCCATCTTACCTGAACTCATCCATCTCACCTGAACTCATCCATCTCACCTGAACTCATCTATCTCACCTGAACTCATCTATCTCACCTGAACTCATCTATCTCACCTGAACTCATCTATCTCACCTGAACTCATCCATCTCACCTGAACTCATCTATCTCACATGCACTCATCTATCTCACCTGAACTCATCCATCTCACCTGAACTCATCCATCTCACCTGAACTCATCCATCTCACCTGAACTCATCTCACCTGAACTCATCCATCTCACCTGAACTCATCCATCTCACCTGAACTCATCTATCTCACCTGAACTCATCCATCTCACCTGAACTCATCTATCTCACATGCACTCATCCATCTTACCTGAACTCATCTATCTCACCTGAACTCATCTATCTCACCTGAACTCATTCATCTCACCTGAACTCATCCATCTCACCTGAACTCATCCATCTCACCTGAACTCATCCATCTCACCTGAACTCATCCATCTCACCTGAACTCATCTCACCTGAACTCATCCATCTCACCTGAACTCATCCATCTCACCTGCTCATCTATCTCACCTGAACTCATCCATCTCACATGAACTCATCCATCTCACCTGAACTCATCTCTTTTACCTGAACTCATCCATCTCACCTGCTCATCTATCTCACCTGAACTCATCCATCTCACCTGCTCATCTATCTCACCTGAACTCATCCATCTCACCTGCTCATCTATCTCACCTGAACTCATCCATCTCACCTGCTCATCTATCTCACCTGAACTCATCCATCTCACCTGCTCATCTATCTCACCTGAACTCATCTATCTTACCTAAACTCATCTCACCTGAACTCATCTATCTCACCTGAACTCATCTATCTCACCTTAACTCATCTATCTCACCTGAACTCATCCATCTTACCTGAACTCATCTATCTCACCTGAACTCATCTATCTCACCTGAACTCATCCATCTCACCTGAACTCATCCATCTCACCTGCTCATCTATCTCACCTAAACTGATCCATCTCACCTGCTCATCTATTTCATCTTAACTCATCCATCTCACCTGAACTCATCTATCTCACCTGAACTCATCTATCTCACCTGCTCATCTATCTCACCTAAACTGATCCATCTCACCTGCTCATCTATTTCATCTTAACTCATCCATCTCACCTGAACTCATCTATCTCACCTGAACTCATCTATCTCACCTGCTCATCTATCTCACCTAAACTGATCCATCTCACCTGCTCATCTATTTCATCTTAACTCATCCATCTCACCTGAACTCATCCATCTCACCTGAACTCATCCATCTCACCTGAACTCATCCATCTCACCTGAACTCATCTGTTTCACCTGAACTCATCTATCTCACCTGCTCATCTATCTCACCTAAACTGATCCATCTCACCTGCTCATCTATTTCATCTTAACTCATCCATCTCACCTGAACTCATCCATCTCACCTGAACTCATCCATCTCACCTGAACTCATCCATCTCTCCTGAACTCATCTATTTCACCTGAACTCATCTATCTCACCTGAACTCATCCATCTCACCTGAACTCATCCATCTCACCTGAACTCATCTCTTTCACCTTAACTCATCCATCTCACCTGAACTCATCTATCTCACATGAATTTGTCTATCTCACCTGAACTCATCTATCTCACCTGAACTCATCCATCTTACCTGAACTCATCTATCTCACCTGAACTCATCTATCTCACCTGAACTCATTCATCTTACCTGAACTCATCCATCTCACCTGAACTCATCCATCTCACCTGAACTCATCCATCTCACCTGAACTCATCTATCTCACCTGAACTCATCCATCTCACCTGAACTCACCTATCTCACCTGAACTCATCCATCTCACCTGAACTCATCCATCTCACCTGAACTCATCTATCTCACCTGAACTCATCTATCTCACCTGAACTCATCTATCTCACCTGAACTCATCCATCTCACCTGAACTCATCTATCTCACCTGAACTCATCTATCTCACCTGAACTCATCCATCTCACCTGAACTCATCCATCTCACCTGAACTCATCTATCTCACCTGAACTCATCTATCTCACCTGAACTCATCTATCTCACCTGAACTCATCTATCTCACCTGAACTCATCCATCTCACCTGAACTCATCCATCTCACCTGAACTCATCCATCTCACCTGAACTCATCTATCTCACCTGAACTCATCCATCTCACCTGAACTCATCCATCTCACCTGAACTCATCCATCTCACCTGAACTCATCCATCTCACCTGAACTCATCCATCTCACCTGAACTCATCTATTTCACCTGAACTCATCCATGTCACCTGAACTCATCCATCTCACCTGAACTCATCCATCTCACCTGAACTCATCCATCTCACCTGAACTCATCTCTTTCACCTTAACTCATCCATCTCACCTGAACTCATCTATCTCACCTGAACTCATCCATCTCACCTGAACTCATCCATCTCACCTGAACTCTTATCTTTCACCTTAACTCATCCATCTCACCTGAACTCATCTATCTCACCTGAACTCATCTCTCTCACCTGAACTCATCCATCTTACCTGAACTCATCCATCTCACCTGAACACATCTATCTCACCTGAACTCATCTCACCTGAACTCATCCATCTTACCTGAACTCATCCATCTCACCTGAACTCATCTATCTCACCTGAACTCATCTCTCTCACCTGAACTCATCCATCTCACCTGAACTCATCCATCTCACCTGAACTCATCCATCTTACCTGAACTCATCCATCTCACCTGAACTCATCTCACCTGAACTCATCTATCTCACCTGAACTCATCTATCTCACCTGAACTCATCTATCTCACCTGAACTCATCCATCTCACCTGAACTTATCTATCTCACCTGAACTCATCCATCTCACCTGAACTCATCCATCTCACCTGAACTTATCTATCTCACCTGAACTCATCCATCTCACCTGAACTTATCTATCTCACCTGAACTCATCCATCTCACCTGAACTCATCTCACCTGAACTCATCTATCTCACCTGAACTCATCTATCTCACCTTAACTCATCTATTTCACCTGAACTCATCTATCTCACCTGAACTCATCCATCTCACCTGAACTCATCTTACTGTAACTCATCTATCTCACCTTAACTCATCTATTTCACCTGAACTCATCTATCTCACCTGAACTCATCCATCTCACCTGAACTCATCCATCTCACCTGAACTCATCCATCTTACCTGAACTCATCCATCTCACCTGAACTCATCTCACCTGAACTCATCTATCTCACCTGAACTCATCTATCTCACCTGAACTCATCTATCTCACCTGAACTCATCCATCTCACCTGAACTTATCTATCTCACCTGAACTCATCCATCTCACCTGAACTCATCCATCTCACCTGAACTTATCTATCTCACCTGAACTCATCCATCTCACCTGAACTTATCTATCTCACCTGAACTCATCCATCTCACCTGAACTCATCTCACCTGAACTCATCTATCTCACCTGAACTCATCTATCTCACCTGAACTCATCTATCTCACCTTAACTCATCTATTTCACCTGAACTCATCTATCTCACCTGAACTCATCCATCTCACCTGAACTCATCTCTCTCACCTGAACTCATCCATCTCACCTGGACTCATCCATCTCACCTGGACTCATCTCACCTGAACTCATCTATCTCACCTGAACTCATCTCACCTGAACTCATTTTACCTGAACTCATCCATCTCACCTGAACTCATTTATCTTGTGTTCACACCTGAACTTGTCTATCTTGTGTCCCGTCTCTTCATCCATCTTATTATCTCACCTGAACTCATTTATCTTGTGTTCACACCTGAACTTGTCTATCTTGTGTCCCGTCTCTTCATCAGGTGGCCACAGTAAAGGCTACTGATAATGACACAAGCAATTTGGCAGTATTTTACACTTTAATTCAAGATAACAATAATGATGATTCAAAGTCATTTTCAATTAATATCTTAAGTGAGTATACAAGGTTTATTACAATATCAATTTCTCACTAAAGTGAAATCTATTTATATATTTATAAACTTACTACTACAAGCTTTATATTTTATAGGTTTAGTTTTTAAATTAAATTTCTTCTTTTGTTTAAACTACGCTAACTTTTACCTTTTCATAGAATGGAACATATTTAATATTTAATGTTAAAAATTTAAATTGCTATCAATAAACCTTAAGGCTTTAAAAGAATTATTTAAATACAGCAAATATAAACACTGTGCACACAACTTGTTTGGAAGGTTTTATACTTATTTTTGTTTAAATATTTCAGCTGGAGTGATAACAATTGTTCAAACTCTGGACAAAAAAGATGTTTATTCATTCCAAGTTAAAGCCACAGATTTAGATTTTGGCAGTCCCCTTCAGTTAGCCAGTGACGTCACAGTTAAGATCAACGTCCTGAACAGAGACATCATACCCCAGCTGTCTGTTTCCCCCACCACAGTCACTACATTTGTTGGGATGGTGAAAGGCTCGAAACTTAATGTCATCATATCAACACAAGATGCCATTGCACTTAACATTACTGGTAACAGATTTGTTTCGAACCTTTTATTCCTTTTATTATTTGGTGGAAACAAAATTTCTTTTTTAAATAGATCCTGAAAATTTGTATAGAAAAAACTTTTTATGTTGTTAATATTTTTTAAAATTCTATTTTTGCACTTAAATACTACTTTTTGCTTTGATCCATTTATTTACCCTCTAAATATAAATGATAGTAAATTGAAACATTTGTTATTTACAATTACTTTTTAAAATGCTATTTTTGTTTTAATAATAGTAGTATAGGTTTATGCAAAATCATGTTATTTCAAAATGTTTTAGATGGTGATACTAAAAATGTCTTCAAAATTGTGGGAGAAAAAATAATCCTTCAGACCCAATTAACTGATGTGGCAGTCTACACTCTCACATTGACAGCTACAAGTACATCTGGCAGCAAAGCTACTCAACAGGTGGGTGTGTATATATATATATATATATATATATATATATATATATATATATATATATATATATATATATATATATATATATATATAATGTATATATAAATATACATTTAAACAATGTCTCTATGTATGTCTATATGTCTGTGTGTGTGTGCATACACATGATATATATATATATATGTATATATATATATATATATATATATATATATATATATATATATATATATATATATATATATATATATATATATATATATATATATATATATATATATATATATATATATATATATATATATATATATATATATATATATATATATATATATATATATATATATATATATATATATAGCTTCTGTACTATTGATACCTTAACATCTCAAGACCTAGCTACAACAATCTTTATTTCAGAATTGTTTGTAGATAGTTTCCATTTTTAAGTAGGCCCCACATTGTATGTTTCTTACATGGTCAGTAGGTAAATTATACAACAGTTAAACTTTTCATTATGTAACCTTCCAACATTGTCTGAGTTATAGACTGAATTAGAAAAGTTTTTTGCCTTTGTGCTTTAATTTTTTTCTGTCAAAATTCCATTTGTCACACAATTCCTGTCCTCCATCATCTGAAGAATTGTTAAGGCTGTCATCCATTTTGTTAGTCAGTTCCCTCAAATTTTAATTTAGATACCTTACATTACAGTTCTGAAATCAGTAAGACTTACCCAAGAATATTTTTTGACCACCTTCTAGCTTACAGTGACAGTGAGGTCGGTCACTTTTGACCAGCCCTTCTATTTAGCCAAAATCCCTGAGAACTCAAAGTTTCCCCAAGTGATCTGCACAGTCAATAGTCTGGCTGCTAATCTTAGTGTACCAGTCAGTTACACACTTCTGAATTTCAATGGTAAGTTGTGGACTTCTGTCTTATAAACCTTAACAAAACTATTTTTTAGTAGGGGAAAATTTCTGCAGAAGATAATGAATAAAACTGCTAGACTGTACTCAACATTTGAAGTTTTTATATTTTTCTAACCATTTTAAAAAGATTTTTATATATTTGGGGGGGGGGGGGGGAGAATGTTTTTGTTACTTTCCAAAACAATTTTTAACTGCAAAGTAGAAAATCTATGCCATATTCAGAAATATATGGTTTCTATTACTTCTAGTAACTGTTAAAGCAATGTTTAAGTTGGATTTAAAAATTTGATGTTTGAATTTTTCCTGTTTTGTTCATCAATAAATTAGCAGTTAACACTGTTTCATTCATATTGCTCTTAGATATTTGTATCTTTTTTATTGTTGCTGTTTGCAGATAAATTTAAGATTAACCAAACGGGTGCTATATCAGTGGAGAAATCTCTGGATAGGGAGGAACAGGCACTCTATTTATTAGATGTAACAATCACACCACAGTTGTCTTCTATGAATAGAAGAAAGCGACAAGCAAACCAACAAGGTATGAAAACATTTTCATCCTGTTTTTATAGCCTATTATCATAAAATATGGGAAGCATTAAGCATAAAGCAGCCCGTCCTGATGTAGTATAGGCCAACTAATCAAATACGTTGAACCTAAAGGTGCTACATACCCTTTTCCAAATAGCATAGCGACATTTTAAAATAGAGAACTAAACACACTAGACTTCAGGATTATATGCTATAATCACTCACAAAAATTGTGTTTAATACTTTTTTAAAATCAAGTTATTCTCACAATGATTGTATTATTACACTGCTCTAAGTCAAGTTATTCTCATAAAAATTGTGTTTTAATCCTATTTTTTAAATCAAGTTATTCTCACAATGATTGTGTTATTACACTGCTCTAAGTCAAGTTATTCTCACAAAAATTGTGTTTGAGCAGCTACAAACCAGACAACAGTGGTAGTGCAGGTTGAAGACCAGAATGACAACCCACCAAGTTTTGGAAATTCTGGAAGTGTTCTCTCCCTTGAGATTTCAGCAAATGTTAACAAATCCTATCTTGTTACAACACTGAAAGTAAGGAAACTAAATATTGAAGACTATCAGAATTGATGTATTTCTCAGGGAAAGTAATGCTTATTTATTTATTTAAAGAAGTTGAAATAAAGAAATAATTATTTGTTGTCTGTTGTATATCAATTTTTAAATAAAATCAGCACCCTTTATAATGTATATTGTACAACCTAGGTAAGTAGACAGACCACGTAGTGACAAATGTTAAAAATTAAAGTAGGTAACATAACAGATCATGTGACTAACAAAACAGATCATGTGACTAACAAAACAGATCATGTGACTAAAAAAATATCATAAGACTAAGAAAACAGATCATGTGACTAGCAAAACAGATCATGTGACTGTGTGAGCCAATGTTTCTACTTGTGCTGCTAACTCCATTCCTCTCATGCAGGCCTTTGACCCAGACGAGGGATTAAATGGGGTCATCTTCTACCGAATTGTCAGTAGTGATCGGTCAGATGCTCTCACCTTGAACAATGCAACAGGTGACCTGACTGTTGCATCAACTGACCAGCTCAAAAGCCTACCTGACATTAATCTCAATGTGTCTGCTACTGACCTCAATGGAAGTGGTTTATCAGCATTTCTTGCTGTTGAAGTTCGTTCAATTTTTTTCAAAGTTTTTTTTTTCAATATTTATTAATCTTCTGGAATTTTTTGGATTATTAAACAATATAAATATAGTCTTTAAATCATTAAGCAATATATAACGTCTTTATATCATTAAACAATATATAATGTCTTTTACTTTAAATTATTAAACAATATATACAATCTTTGTATTATTAAACAATATATATTTATATAACGTCTTATTAATCAAATTTTCTACTGGATGCCAATGTATTTTTATTCCTTTACTGTGTAAATTTTTAATTGCAATCTTATTATACAGATTCAAGTCAAAAGTGAAACAATATATAAACTAAAAGCAGCTATTCCAATATCAACATTTACTTCAAATAAAGACATCATATTAGTGTGAGTTGATTCACAATTTTTAAAAATAAATAAAATTTAAATTTCTTATTCTTAACGTATTGTTTACATTAAAAAATCCCTAATTATTAGCAATGATGAGTTTAATTGTGAATACATTGTTTTGTTTCATTTCCTCAGTAACTTGAGTCTTATTCTTGGTTTTGAAGTCAAGTTGTTCAATGCATCCAAAAATAATGATGGCAGGTGGGTTTTCTGTACTGAAAGTTTTTACTAAGCATTATCATTGTAGTGCTGGAGCATAAAATTTTTTATTTTATTTTTGTTACTTGGAAGTAGAACTTCAAAGGCAAAGTTAGCCTACAAATAATGTATTATGTTTCATATATAGATTTACACATTGTTTAAATTTTATAAGATTTGTTTAGATATGCTTTCAACAATTTCTACAGTTTAGACATTCAACTGTATGCAATAGATGAAAAAAATGCAACGGTTCCTTCTGATCAAATTGAAAAGTAAGTCGTTAGCACTTAATATTAGGTTGTTCTTAAGGTAGTTATATTGATTATAAAAATGCTAGCTATATGCTGTTTCATCAAATGTATGCCTAATAATATAACTAATTTTGTATTAAATAAATAGAAGTGTAGAGTATTTATTTTGATTTAATAAATAAAATGTACAGTACCTCAGGTTTTCAGACAACATGACATAACTATCTTATAACAATCCTGTCTAAGAAGATTTATACTGAATTATCATCCTTTGTAAAACTAAACTGGTCTTACAGTTATCTTGAAATATATCTCATTACAATACAAAAAACAAAAATTGGAAATTTGTTAAAATTTTATCTGCAGTAACACATAAATTTTTTTTTCAATTTTTTGTTTGTTTTTTAACTTTTGAAGTTGACTATCCAGATACATTTTAAAATTCACGAAGCTAACTTGATGCCGCTGTTTCTTCAGAAAAGTAAAGGACAAGCAATCAGAGATAAACACCCTGTTTGAAAGTTTCTCCAAGTCCAGTAAAAGCAGCAGTGGAGGGAGTGATGGAGACTTCAGTGTTTCAGCTATAGCTCTCATAGTCCTGGCCTGTGTCATGTTCTGCATATCACTGGGGGCCATCCTCGTTGCTTATCTCCTTTGGAGGAAGTATGTTCTGACTTGAAAACTAAACAGACATTGTGTATTCATAGATGAATAGACATTTATCTGAAGTTATTATATATAGATAAGGACCGTTATTAAATTTCATAAGTTCAGAGGTTATAATAACTTTTGAAATCCAATTTTTTAAATATTTATCATGATTACTCTTAAACTATTTTAATATTAAGATAATTTTAAAAATTAATGAACAAATACGACTGTCAAATTATCAAATCCTAATGAGAATAAGGGCTGTGCCATCCTAAGGCAGAGAAATTTTTCATAGAAATATAAGAACTAATCCCAATTTATTTTAGGCAAAGAAATTATTCAGAGAAAGAAGAGAATGCAGCTAAAGTGAGGCAGAAGATAGATGAACAGATGGGTAACATCAAGACTGAGAGCCTGAGTTCTGATCCAGATGAGCATCTTGAAATGTAAGAGAACTACAAATACTGCCTCAATCATCTGCTACCCACATGGTTATATACATTGTTTTTTGCTGTTACTGATACTTCAAACACATTTAAACTAAGCTCTATTCCTATACAGGGGTCATCCATAAATGACGTCACACTCGTAGGGGGGCGGGGAGGTCTGTAATTTTGTGACGTGGGGGTTCAGATAGTGTGATGTCTTTTTTTTTGCATTAAAAGCAATGTTAGAAAACAAGTTTTAGCCATCATTTTGTGTTTTAGAAAACTGTTTTAATAAATTGTAATAGTAATTGATTAAAATACTCTATGCTGACAGAGTTCCGACAAGATTTTGGAAAAATATCGATGTTTTAAGAAAATTAAAAAGCAATGGGGGGGGGGGGGGGGGGGGGGGGGGTTGTAGGCTGAGTTGTGATGTAATTTTAAGTGGGGGGGGGGGTCTGGCTTTTTGTGACAACGTCATTTATGGATGACCCCTACAGTGTCCTTTCTATACCTTACACTATTGTCTCTACCTGCAATACAAATATCTTAGTATGGTCTATGGGTAAGGACCCAAACATTTGTATTCCTATTTCATACAAATATTATTTTCTAATATAAATGACTACTTAACATATGATGAATCAGTTGTTGAAGGAGAGTTGGTGAGAGAAGATTGGCTGAACAACACTTACATTTTGTACATTTATTCTCTGGTGTAGGGATATCGACTTGGACGACTCACAGTTTTTTAATCCAAAAATGTTCTTACGCCACTCTAAAGAGTCTGAGTAAGATTCCTCTATTGCTGTTGTGGCGCTAGACTAGTAGACAAAATTTAACCCACGTTTTATTACTAAACTTTTTAACTTTACGTCAAATTTTAATTAATTTTAAAGATTTCTTATATTCTTTCATCCCTCTTTAAAATGCCATCTCAATGTCAATTTATTCCTGTCCTAGTTAGCTGTTAAAGTTCAATTTTGTTTTAAGTGCAAGTAGATTATTACTTTAGCCGCTTGCTTTTAATTCTGTTGAAAAAGGAAACTATAGCATCCACAGAGTTTTAACAGTGAACATGTATTTGAATAATTTAACAAGTCCAATGAAAATAAAAAATTATTTTATCATCATTCTGAAAAGTTTATGCACATTTTCATCCACTTAAAGAATGTTTTTAAAAGACTACCACTCCTTCTCTACTTGATAGATATTTAATTCTCCATCATAGTTGTACTTTCATCTCCTTGATAGATATTTAATTATCCGTCATAGTTGTACTTTCATCTCCTTGATAGATATTTAATTCTCCGTCATAGTTGTACTTTCATCTCCTTGATAGATATTTAATTCTCCGTCATAGTTGTACTTTCATCTCCTTGATAGATATTTAATTATCCGTCATAGTTGTACTTTCATCTCCTTGATAGATATTTAATTCTCCGTCATAGTTGTACTTTCATCTCCTTGATAGATATTTAATTCTCCGTCATAGTTGTACTTTCATCTCCTTGATAGATATTTAATTCTCCATCATAGTTGTACTTTCATCTCCTTGATAGATATTTAATTCTCCGTCATAGTTGTACTTTCATCTCTTTGATAGATATTTAATTATCCGTCATAGTTGTACTTTCATCTCCTTGATAGATATTTAATTCTCCGTCATAGTTGCTTTCATTTGTATTGCATATACCTTGTAGTGGGTTTACCAAACAATTAGTATTTTTAGCACTGCTAGTAGCAAATGTGATGATAACTATGTATGCCTATTTTTATTACTTCTTTAATTAAACCTTAAATGCTGATGCACAAAATGACTTTTACTAGCAGAACCAGCAGTAGACTAGTTACATATAATTAAACATCTTTTTTACAGGCTTTATCTGTTGTTTATAGCTTCCCTTTAAAGTAATTTCTTTTTGTTTAGTTCAGCGGATAAATCGTAGATCCTTGGTGTTAGAATCCTAGTCAATCCCTTGTTGTATTCCAATAAATGGAAATATTTTTATGATGTTTCTCTACCATCTTTTGTAATGGGGTTAAAAAAAGTTACTCATAATTAGTTTTATTCATTTTTCTTTTAAGTTTAAAAAGCAAGTATTTTAAATGATGTAATTTAATTATTTAACTAGTATCTTCATAGTATTTATTTTTAAAAAAAAATACAAGAATTATTTACAAAAATGAGAATGCACCAGAACTATTCAATGCCCTAACAAAAAGCAAAAACTTTCTTTAATTTAATACAAAATAGAGAAATATTTGATTAAAACATTTACTTTTTCTTAACGCTGTCATGCAGGATTTCCTACTAAAGTAAGTAAATAGATGTCTCAGATCTTTTAAACCACAACATGATGTTAAACCTTCTGGTTACCAGGGCTACCTGACTTAAGGACTTTAAAATCTCTACATTTCTTTTGTTTTAAACTAAAGCTTAACTCTATTTATCAATGACTTATAGCCCATGCATTGCATTATGGGAATGTTTATTTTGGGTGTCTGTGTTATTACAGCCAAAAGAAACCCATATAATGGAGTACAAATGCTGTAAGCAGACCAAAGTGTCACACAAATGCTTTAAGCAGACCAAAGTGTCACACAAATGCTTAAGCAGACCAAAGTGTGACTCAAATGCTGTAAGCAGACCAAAGTGTGACACAAATGCTGTAAGCAGACCAGAGTGTCACACAAATGCTTAAGCAGACCAGAGTGTCACACAAATGCTTTAAGCATACCAAAGTGTCACACAAATGGTTTAAGAAAACTTTTTGTTCCAGGGTTGAGATGAGTCCAGAAAATGTAGACGAGCAGGAAGTGACCTTGCAGTTTGAGACAGAGTTCAAGTCCAGCATAAGTACCATGGCACTACGGCGCCACCTGCAGGATAAAGAGATGCAGTGGAGACAACAGCTGTTTCAGGCTATTGGAGAGGAGGATGAGGAAAGGCAGAGGACAGCCTCACCTGACTCTGATGGTGGCCCCAGTGGCAATGATCAGGCTGCGGCATATGTCAATGATCAAGTTGTTGCTCGTTTCAATGATCAAGTTGCAGCATATGTCAACGATCAAGTTTTAGCACCTGTCCTATCCCACCTGAACAGAGATACAGGGGTTATCCATGAGGAGGCGGAGGAGAATAGAGATGACGGCTCATCTTCATCATCATCTTCTGTGTTTGTGGCTGGCACTGATGTCACCTCACCTGAGGGGTCAAAGTTCAACGACCTAGCGGGGCTCTATGAGCTTGTTGGTAAAACTGGCAAAGATGTTCAACACAGGGGAGGTAAGCCTAGAGGTTCAAGCAGCTCCTCTGATGTATCTGCTGGACCCACTGAGATTTATAAATCACCAAGAAATGGAAGCCCAACAACTAACAACAGCTTAAACACAGATGTGTATAGTCTCCCTTTAAATTTGAACAGTAAAATCAAACCAGACACGACATCACTTATCAAACCAGCTAGCCAAGTAAATGGTGGGCTAGGCTATGTTAATGTCAACTTCCAACATGAAGACAATGAAGAATCTGAAGAAGAAGAAAGTACCCAATTTTGATTACAGATTAAATACCTACCTTATGTGTGTATTTCATTATAAATAGATACATTTTGTTTACTGCTTTTAAAAAAAAAATTAAAATATTATTTTAGAATTCAATGCCATGATGATAATGAATATGATCAAATTTTATAACATGTTTGTCATTTTGTATATTTTATTTATTAAATTTAAGAAGCCTTCAACAATTTACTGTAGTAAAAAAAAATTGTATTAGAGCAAAAATGCTGCTTAAGTATGAGCCATAAAGCATAATTTAATGCAATTATCTTATTAAATAATTTGGAAAGTTAAAATAACAATTTGACTACTCTAATAATTGACTTGATTCTAACCATTTGACTACTATTAATACTTGACTTGATTCTGTTGTGAAACAGAGAGACACTTTTAGAACTAAAATTAATGAAATGGATTTGTTTTAGATAATATATTGGCTGCAAATGTTTCTTGGCTTAGTCTTTAACCATAATAGTACAGATCTAGAGGTTACTTGCTTGAAGTGTAGGCCTACTTACTTATAATGCCCATTGTTGATAATTTTTGTTTTGAAGCTGTTTGTCTCTAAAATGCTAGGCTTACTATAGAAATCATGTTTTGTTGTATTTAATCAATTCATGTGAATAAAACATTTATATTTGCATATGTGAACACTTTAAAAGGATTTTATTACCATATTCTTTTTCTATGCGATATTTGAATCTGTACAAAAATGTTTTTGCTTATGACTGTATTGTGATATTACCATTCCTCATCAAATACTTTTTAAACTACAAAGGAACTGTGCCTTTTACTTGACCAATGTATTTCAACTGTAAAACTGTTTTTGTAATAAAGTTTGTTTTGTTATTGGTCTTATAAAGTTGGCATTGCATTAATTAGAAGTATGCAATACTACGCTCTTCATCCAATCACTATAAAAAATGTGAGATGTACACTCCAAAACAGAGTTTATTCCAGACATCTCTTCGGGGGGGGGGCTTTAAGAAAGTCTACTGCCCCCCCCCCCCCCCCGAACGAAATGAAATTCATATAGAAAATATTTAATTTTAACAGTGTCGTCGTCGTCCCCGTCGTCCCCCCCCCCCCCCCCACGAAGAAAGTTTACCGCCCTACCCCCCCCCCCCCCCCCCCCCCAAATTTCAAGTGTCCCACCCCGGGAGAAAAAAATTATGGAATATACACTGCTCAAAAAACTGAGTGGCGACAGCCTGTGGGTAGTGTGTGATTGGCCTGTGGGTAGTGTGTGATTGGCACCCCTGTTTCCCCAGCGGCTATTTTAGCACATTGTGGCCTGAACTGGGGTATGGGGTCATCCATAAATGTCACACTCGTAGGGGGAGGGGGGGCGTAATTTTGTGACGATGTGTGATGAGGGGGGGGGGGGGGTTCAAATGTTGCGACGTCACATTTTTGCATTATAAAAAAGCAATGTTATAAAACGAATTTTAGACGTTATTTCGCGTTTTAGATAACTGTTTTAATAAATTGTAATAGTTTAGACAAGATTTAGGAAAAATATCGATGTTAAAAAAAAATTAACTGCAATTTTGAGGGGGGTTGTAGGTTGAGGTGTGACGTCATTTTAGGGGGGGGGGGTGGGCTTTTTGTGACGACGTGTGACGGAGGGGAGGGGGGAGGTAAAAATCGTCAAAAAAAGCGTGACGTCATTTATGGATGACCCCTATCTCTTAATCTGTGGTCAATTTATAGTCCGACCCGATAATGTCTACCAAGAGCGAGCACTATGGTGCCTATATTCGTTTTAAACAGCGCTCTATACTAAGGATACAGTGGGCTAGTCATATCGATGTGTGAATCAAACGAGGGGTCGCACCCGGCGCCCCTGCAGTAATGTAACCATTGGCTCCCAAGAGCGCCCTTGAAACCTGGCGGTGCCCTAGTGCTAATGTACCTTACCGTTGCGAGGAGTGATCAGTGTACACTCAAACGTTGGGTGACAGTGTGGACAAACGCGACGCAGCAACATAGAACCAAGAAATAGTGCAACCATTGTTTACCTTAAAATAACTCACTTGTACAAAACAAGGTCGGATGTCTAAAAATACCGATCGGTAAAGCGTGATGAAAGTCCCTAAAAAGTTGCGCTAGTTCTGTGTGCAGGACTGAATTTATCGAGTCCATACTTCTCACATATATGTGATGTGCTGATGGGAACCTGTTTACCTGATTTATTCGTTCGCCGGACGAACAAACACATAACATCGTGTAACTACACGCACGCGAATAAATAAATGAAATTAAAACAACCTTTGTTTACCATTCTAAAATGAATAATAAGTTTCAACAAAACATGAGACGATGTAAATTGGATGTTACCATTATCAAAGAGTCTCCTTGAGCTTTCTTCTAAGATCGCGATAACGGGGGAAGCTAATAACGTTAAATATTTCCACATGCCACCGCCCTTCAAATAACATTTCTACTCACTTATCACTACCTATTTGATATTTCCACAAATCAACATCCCACTTATAACATACAGGTCATAGATCATCCCATTTTTCACGTTCGTGCCCTAGACACATGGGGCAGGTGAAGTAGAGTTGAAGTAAGCCCAGCCGCCTTTACTTCCGTAACTTGATTCAGGTAACCATGATAACTGTGGACTCAGAGATGTCCTACGGACCCCAGCCTGGGATCCAAACCAATGGCTAGCATAGTAGCGTGCTGTCCACCAAAACTTATATGTTTAGAGTCTTTTTCACACCTTACACCGTCACAAAATGTCAAAACCCCACCCCCTAAAATCATGTCACACTTACCACTGCCACCTATAAGGGGACGTAAAAGAGTAAGGGTAATGTGGCCAAAATATTCATTTGCATAGCCACCGTAATCTTTACTTTTTTGCTTCCTAGGGTGATTTAGCCGGGGAAAAAAACCATAATCACTTGCTATTTAATATTGGTTAATATTCGATTCATCGACAAATTTTCATAAGAATTAAAAAAAAAAGTTTTTATAAAATGTATAATAATACTATTAATAACCGCTTAAATTGCGTTTAAAACATCTTTTTAAAATTTAAAAGTTTGATCTTCCTCTTTCTTAACTACACACTTCTTCCCAAAAATCAGAACTCCCATCCAACAATAGTACAACAATAGGAATGCGTAACGTCACTTTTTAATTTTACAATAATTACAAATAACAGTTTACAAGTTCATACTACTGTTTTGGTCTATGGTGGTAAATAGCGCAACCCTAAATCTATGCTCATTATTTTGTTTCCGGGGCAAAAACGTGTGTTTACATTCAGTTGTACCTCTAGCTGCTAGCGTCTAGAATCTAAAAATTATATCAATCTCTAGACCTAGATCTAGCATTATTTTTCCTAATATTACACTTTAATTATATAAAAATGGGAAAATTAGCCAAGCCACAACGCAGTAAAAAACATAAGAAGATTAAAGCTATTGATCCATTTTATAAAGGCAACCGAAAAGACATGTGGGTGTACTTTTTAAAATTTGGTCTAGATCTAGATCTAGGGCCTATATTTTTATTATTTAGGCCTATAATTTTATATTCATTAATTTATATTAAGTAGGGGCCTATATTTAGTAATTTACTAATACTCTATTACTTATTTATTACTTATTACTATTACTCTATTATTACTACTATTTACAAATTAATAATCAGTTAATCAGGCCTACATTTCTAGTGTAGATCTAGGTACAAGTTGACTAACAGACTAAACTAAGCTAACCTTTTATCTGAGGGACCACCAGATTTTCTTGCAGACCTTTAGTTAATTATTAATTATTATTTGCCTTTTATTATTAAATAAATATTAAATACCCTGGCCTGGATCTAGATTCTAGTACATTGTACAAGTGTCAAGTAGTAGCCTACTTACTTTTACTTCTTTCAACACATTTCTTGTTTATTTCAGTCGTACTAAAGACCTAAATAAAGTACCAAAGTCCTATGAGCAAGAGGTTCCCAAGAAACTGAAGCAGCTTGGGTACACCATTGATGGGGTCAAGGCAGGGAAAGTTGGAAAGAACAGTGTTCTCAAATTCCAGCACTCTTCTGACAGTAAGACCTGTAGATTTAATTTAGTAAATTTAATTTATAAATAAACCTACATGATCATCTGTTACAGTAAAAATATGAAATCTTTGATTAAAAGTTAATTTGATCTTTTAATTTATTCACAATATCTATTGCTTTTGATATTTAGCACCAAAGCTGTACAACAATCAGTTCAAGTCACCGTTGGGCTCTAAAACAAAAACTGGAAAACAAAACAAAACACCAAAACCCCTCAAAATTGATGAGCCAACTTCTACCAGTAAAAAAGCCAAACATAGAAAGAAAGGTTCCAAGAAAAAAATCTCCAAGGAGGCCCTGGATGAGTTTATTGACAACATGGGACCAGTTGGACCGTTTGTTGACAACTTCAAGTTTAAAAAGAACCCAGAGGAGTCTGTTCAACAGTTTATGAGACGAGTTAATGAAGAGACCAATAATGTCATAACTAAGGCTAAAATTGATGATAAATTTGATGTGAGTTTACAGCATTTAAACATTACACCATAGTCAGAAAAAGTTACATTATTATAAATACATGTTGAAATGATGTGAAAAGTAATTTAGTTAAAACTTTAGATGTAGAAAATAAATCTTAAGAATATTAAAACCTCGTAAAATTATAAATGTGATTGGAGCAGTTTACTACCTGCTCTAATTGTTAGTTAAAAGATAGATGTATTAGAAAGTGCTTGAGAAAAAAAGTTTTTCTTTAAGTAAACATTAGTTTTTTTGCTTTATTTTCAGGTCAGTGATGAGAAAAAAATTCTTCACAAAATTAAAACTGTGAAAGGAATGAGTGAAAAGAAAAAAAAGTATGTTAAAAAAATAATTATTGCACAGTTTCTCTTACTCTTCAGTCTGTTTTTTTCACAGCTTGCTAATACAATAAAATACTTCTGCTAAGGAGCACGGTTAACTTTAGGTTAAAGTGGTATAATATGAATGGGAGGATTTTTTTAATATAACGCACAGCATTGACTGAAGTGGTTATCTCTAGGTGTGATGTCTATATTAAATAAAAGGAAATAGCTTTTACAGTGACTACTCCTTAGTCAGTTAACAAAAGTCATGAGAAAAAATAAAGAAAACATCCTCTAGGGGCTAATAACTGTAGAGTTGTTTACATTTTGCTTCTTGTGTTCTAGTCGACTGAAGGAGAAAAAGCAGAAAAAACTAGAGGCTGTAAAAGCTAAAAAGAATGAGAACAAAATGGGATTTGCTGGTTTGCAAGGTAATTTAGTTAAAAAAAAATTGAACAAACAAGTGTGTTCTTACTGAAAAAATTTGTAATGGAAAATGTCAGTAAACAATCTGAGTTTCTGCTCTTTTTTCCAGATAAAGTGGAGTTTGGTGAAGTTGTTCATGCCCCGCCTGTCCTCTCTGTTAGACCAAAGAAAGCAGAGACTGCCGACATAGACCGGGTTAGTTCTAGAAATATTTGCTCTTTATATTTTAGTTCTAGCCATATTCACTCCACATTTTATTTTTATTTACTTTTTTACATGTTAGTTCAAGCTATATTTACTCTTACATTTTAGTTCTAGCTATATTCGCTCTTTTCCATAACTAAAAAAGCTCATTTTAGGAAAATGAAACTTTTCTTAACATTTAATTTTAATATTTGCTTGTTATTTAAATAGAAAAACCACCTGCGTGAATTCAACTTTAAGACAAATTTCTTTAGTAAACTCACGTCTGTTTTCTCCCAGCCTGGCCTGCGCATGCCGGAACTGAAGGCTGCCTTTGCTGGAGACCTGGAGGAGTTTGAGAGACAAACAAAAGCTGCCATGTCCAAGTTTGACAGGAAGGTTGGGCAGACTGTCAGGAGAAAGTCCATGACACCAATACAGAAAATGGTGTCTGATGCCCAGAGGGACAGTGTCATAGAATCTTACAGGCAGATGAAGAAAAAAAAGTTGTGAATTATTTATGACAAGATGTAAATACAAAGCTGTACTGTAGGAGTGTAAATAAAGAATGATACATCTATTTATTTTTTAAACTTTAATGCATTTGATGATCAGTAGTAAAAAGGTTAAGTGTTTTCCTGGGACTGCATTTAAATTTAACAAAACCCGGGTGAATGAATTTGAGTCCCTAAAATATTTTGCTCAATTAGTAGACAAATCCGTATTACCATACTTGGGGGATATCTGTCAGGACTTTGTGTTTGTACAAGACTGTGTATAATAATCAATCCAGCTAGTTGTTGCTGCACTGTTTCCTGTCCATTCCCACTCAGGCTTACTAGACTGTTAAAGCTTTGCACATAAATGTTTTGACCAAGTTAGGTATTATCTAGACAAGGATTACTACAGTGTTTAGTTGTAAATTCTGACTGATAGTAATGTAGCAATGGTTTATATGGGGGGGGGGGGGGGTAATGGTTTTCTTATTCTTTAGGAGAACACTTGCAACATTGGAGTTTTATTATTTAAGAGTTATTTGCATTGTAACTTTTTAGCAGCAGATAAACTTGACACCAGTTCCTGAACTTGTTCATATTCAAAACCAAAGTCTGTCAATCACATCTATGTATACCAAAGTCGGTGCGCGGACCTTTGACCACAGGTGCTTTGACCATAGGGGGGTTTGACCACAGCGGGGCTTTGACCATAGGGGTTTGTCCACAGGTGTTTTCTCAACAGAGGGTCTTTGGTCACTGGTGGTTTGTCAACGGGTGTTTGATCACAAGCGTCGTGTCCGGCTTTGACCACAGGTGGTTTGTTCATATAGGGTCTTTGATCACAGGTGGTTTGTCCAATGCTGGCGTTTGATAACCAGTGTTTCTTCCAGACTTTTTCCTCAGGGACGGGGGGGGGGGGGGGGCCTTGAAATTTTACGGGGGCAGTAGACTTTCTTCGGGGGGGGGGGGGGAGGGACACTGTTAAAATATATTTTCTATATAAATTATAAAAATTTCGTTCAAGGGGGGGGGGGGGGGGTAGAATTTTTTCGGGTGGGCTTCGCCCCCCCAAAGAGATGCCTGGAAGAAATTCTGTTGATAACAAGCGCTTTGTCCATAAATTGTAAGGATTAATTTTAAAAGTAGTGTAATTATAATTGCGACAGGATGTAATATGTTGATACATCATGTATAAATACAAATCTAAACCATACTAGGATTACTTCTTTGACTTTACTGTTAGCATGTTTTTTTATCTTTTGTTATCCTTTATATTTATGTATTTTCAAGTACATCTACATTATTTATTTGTAAAACTTGTTATATCACATTATTTTGTTCCATTTATATTTAAAATAAATCTATGAGGCCTAGCACCAGCCTTTGTGTGGAGACTAAATTATTGTTCAGGACTTTTTTTAGTACATGTTAATTTCTATTAATGGACTCTCAGGAAACGTATAAAATCGTATTATGTCATAAATTTAAATCAAATAACCATCAATATTTTTATTTAAAAATCTATAAATTATGATTAACCCCCCTCTGTGGTCAAACCCCCTATGGTCAAAGCACCTAGGACCATCAAAGTCTGTCATTCACAAGTACCAGTCCATTCTTGATTACCCTCCTTAGCTCTGTAATGTAAGCATACCTTATTCATCTCTAAAGCAGGACATTTAATTACTTCTTTAATCAATAGTTGTGTGCTATACTGTTCCAGAACATTTTCAAATATTTATTTTTTTTTACCTCTGTGCACACAAGATGGTTTTTAAAATTTCTTGGTTGAATATAGTCTATGTCATGTTAGAACCTTTCACCTTTCATTGACCCCATTCACAGGTCACTGACATTTTATTGTCTACCAGAATATTAAACAACCATAGTTATCAATGAACCATCTTGTAGAAGTCTATCAGTGTTATTTCTTTAGATGTCAATGTGGATAAAATAATTGCAGTTGAAAAAGAATTGCTACCAATCAAACACTGAGGCAGCTATCATAGCATCCACCCCCCTCCCCATACCTAGAAACTAACAAACAAAATTAATTTATAAACACTTTAATAAAAATTTCTCTTAGACAATATTTTAAAATCTGATTGCCATTGCTGACAGGTTTGGTCTGGGTCACGTCAGGTAAGGTCCTACTTTAGGTCATGTCCTGTTCCAGGTAAGGTCCTGTTCTAGGTCACATCAAGCTATTTCTCTGCAGCTTTCTTCGTCTTTTTTGTTGGCCCAGCTTTCAATGTCTTCTTTACTGAAGCTGTCTGCAATACACAATAGAGTAAACAAACAATTGAATGCGCAAGGCAGAAATGTATTAAGCATAGGATGGAAACTTGGGTGATTTGCAACTTGTAATGGAAGAAGGGCAACAACCACTGAAGGGCTGACAGTGCTAATGGCATACACTGGTCCATTTGTTGCCCTTTGTGTAACCACAAATTGTTGCCAGTAAATTTTTATCCTAACAGGTGATGTTAACTCCTACAAGATGCCAAGGGCTTGCATCTTAAATAGAATTATCACCTCAACAGTTGGGACAGGTTTCTACTTGCAGTAGAAGATGAAAGACCTTGTGGTGGCATGTACAAGGTGACCAGCCTACTGTAAACCTTTACAAATGGTGACCAACCTACTGTAAACCTTTACAAATGGTGACCAACCTACTGTAAACCTTTACAAATGGTGACCAACCTACTGTAAACCTTTACAAATGGTGACCAACCTACTGTAAACCTTTACAAATGGTGACCAACCTACTGTAAACCTTTACAAATGGTGACCAACCTACTGTAAACCTTTACAAATGGTGACCAACCTACTGTAAACCTTTACAAATGGTGACCAACCTACTGTAAACCTTTACAAATGGTGACCAACCTACTGTAAACCTTTACAAATGGTGACCAACCTACTGTAAACCTTTACAAATGGTGACCAACCTACTATAAACCTTTACAAATGGTGACCAACCTACTATAAACCTTTACAAATGGTGACCAATCTACTATAAACCTTTACAAATGGTGACCAGCCAACTATAAACTTTTACAAATGGTGACCAACCTACTGTGAACAAGTAGGGTGTCATGTCACTGACGTCAACAAACTGACCTTTAACTTGGCACCAGCCATGGCAGACTTGCTCAGCTTTGGGGTGGATGAGATGGCAGTTTTCAAAGTTTTGGGCGTGGCTGGCACCTTCTGTTTGACAACCTTGGTCTTCTTGGGCGTTGTTTTACTTTCAGTTTGTTTTTTTGGTACTTTGGCTTTCAGTTCAGCTTTTGACTTGGCAGCAGTTGCTTTTTTATCTTTGCTGGGAGATTTAGTTGCCTTAGGTTTGTGCGGTGATATCTTCTTGGGTTTGGACTCCTGTGATTTAGCTTTTGCCTTTTTGTTCTTTTCTCTTTGCGCCTGAAGGACTTTGTTGATCATGAAATATCCTTTCATGCCAGTTTCCTCTGAAGATTTTGGCCGTATGATTTCAGCGCCTTCAATCCCTTTGGTCATTGCTTTTCTGAAACGTGCAGTTGAGAAGTTGTCCTTCATGCTTGGGTACTTATCTGTGATGATGCGCTTTATTGCCTGAATGGAAAAAATGTACTTTTTACACAAAAACTTAAATACCAGAATACAATTTATTAATCTCATAGCTAAACACAAAGTGCAATTTAAGGATATTTTTGGGATAGTTTATTAAGAAAAACTAACCAGCCAAAGACAACATTTGAATGGCCAACTAACCAGCCAAGGACAACATTTGGATGGCCAACTAACCAGCCAAGGCCAACATTTGGATGGCCAACTAACCAGCGAAGGACAACATTTAGATGGCCAACTAACCTGCCAAGGACAACATTTGGATGGCCAACTAACCAGCCAAGGCCAACATTTAGATGGCCAACTAACCAGCCAAGGCCAACATCCAAGGCAAACATTTGGATGGCCAACTAACCAGCAATTTGATCCCATTCAAATGCTCAAATTGTGCTTGAAATTCTGCCTAACAACACAGAAGCACATTTAAAAATAAAAAGGGGCTTAGTGCGTGAAAGACAAAATGTCAAATGTGTTGTGAGACAATGTTAGGCCAGGACAAGTGATACCTGTGAGACAATGGTGAGGACAAGTGATACCTGTGAGACAATGGTGAGGACAAGTGATACCTGTGAGACAATGGTAGGTGAGGACAAGTGATACCTGTGAGACAATGGTAGGTGAGGACAAGTGATACCTGTGAGACAATGGTGAGGACAAGTGATACCTGTGAGACAATGGTAGGTGAGGACAAGTGATACCTGTGAGACAATGTTAGGTGAGGACAAGTGATACCTGTGAGACAATGGTGAGGACAAGTGATACCTGTGAGACAATGGTAGGTGAGGACAAGTGATACCTGTGAGACAATGGTAGGCAAGGACAAGTGATACCTGTGAGACAATGGTAGGTGAGGACAAGTGATACCTGTGAGACAATGGTGAGGACAAGTGATACCTGTGAGACAAGTGATACCTGTGAGACAATGGTGAGGACAAGTGATACCTGTGAGACAATGGTGAGGACAAGTGATACCTGTGAGACAATGGTGAGGACAAGTGATACCTGTGAGACAATGGTAGGTGAGGACAAGTGATACCTGTGAGACAATGGTGAGGACAAGTGATACCTGTGAGACAATGGTAAAGACAAGTGATACCTGTGAGACAATGGTGAGGACAAGTGATACATGTGAGACAATGGTAGGTGAGGACAAGTGATACCTGTGAGACAATGGTGAGGACAAGTGATACCTGTGAGACAAGTGATACCTGTGAGACAATGGTGAGGACAAGTGATACCTGTGAGACAATGGTGAGGACAAGTGATACCTGTGAGACAATGGTGAGGACAAGTGATACCTGTGAGACAATGGTAGGTGAGGACAAGTGATACCTGTGAGACAATGGTGAGGACAAGTGATACCTGTGAGACAATGGTGAGGACAAGTGATACCTGTGAGACAATGGTGAGGACAAGTGATACCTGTGAGACAATGGTGAGGACAAGTGATACCTGTGAGACAATGGTGAGGACAAGTGATACCTGTGAGACAATGGTGAGGACAAGTGATACCTGTGAGACAATGGTGAGGACAAGCGATACCTGTGACACAATGGTAGGTGAGGACAAGTGATACCTGTGAGACAATGGTGAGGACAAGTGATACCTGTGAGACAATGGTAGGTGAGGACAAGTGATACCTGTGAGACAATGGTGAGGACAAGTGATACCTGTGAGACAATGGTGAGGACAAGTGATACCTGTGAGACAATGGTAGGTGAGGACAAGTGATACCTGTGAGACAATGGTAGGCCAGGACAAGTGATACCTGTGAGACAATGGTAGGTGAGGACAAGTGATACCTGTGAGACAATGGTAGGTGAGGACAAGTGATACCTGTGAGACAATGGTGAGGACAAGTGATACCTGTGAGACAATGGTGAGGACAAGTGATACCTGTGAGACAATGGTGAGGACAAGTGATACCTGTGAGACAACGGTAGGTGAGGACAAGTGATACCTGTGAGACAATGGTGAGGACAAGTGATACCTGTGAGACAATGGTGAGGACAAGTGATACCTGTGAGACAATGGTAGGTGAGGACAAGTGATACCTGTGAGACAATGGTAGGTGAGGACAAGTGATACCTGTGAGACAATGGTGAGGACAAGTGATACCTGTGAGACAATGGTGAGGACAAGTGATACCTGTGAGACAATGGTAGGTGAGGACAAGTGATACCTGTGAGACAATGGTAGGTGAGGACAAGTGATACCTGTGAGACAATGGTAGGTGAGGACAAGTGATACCTGTGAGACAATGGTGAGGACAAGTGATACCTGTGAGACAATGGTAAAGACAAGTGATACCTGTGAGACAATGGTGAGGACAAGTGATACATGTGAGACAATGGTGAGGACAAGTGATACATGTGAGACAATGGTAGGTGAGGACAAGTGATACCTGTGAGACAATGGTGAGGACAAGTGATACCTGTGAGACAAGTGATACCTGTGAGACAATGGTGAGGACAAGTGATACCTGTGAGACAATGGTGAGGACAAGTGATACCTGTGAGACAATGGTGAGGACAAGTGATACCTGTGAGACAATGGTAGGTGAGGACAAGTGATACCTGTGAGACAATGGTGAGGACAAGTGATACCTGTGAGACAATGGTGAGGACAAGTGATACCTGTGAGACAATGGTGAGGACAAGTGATACCTGTGAGACAATGGTGAGGACAAGTGATACCTGTGAGACAATGGTGAGGACAAGTGATACCTGTGAGACAATGGTGAGGACAAGTGATACCTGTGAGACAATGGTGAGGACAAGCGATACCTGTGACACAATGGTAGGTGAGGACAAGTGATACCTGTGAGACAATGGTGAGGACAAGTGATACCTGTGAGACAATGGTAGGTGAGGACAAGTGATACCTGTGAGACAATGGTGAGGACAAGTGATACCTGTGAGACAATGGTGAGGACAAGTGATACCTGTGAGACAATGGTAGGTGAGGACAAGTGATACCTGTGAGACAATGGTAGGCCAGGACAAGTGATACCTGTGAGACAATGGTAGGTGAGGACAAGTGATACCTGTGAGACAATGGTGAGGACAAGTGATACCTGTGAGACAATGGTGAGGACAAGTGATACCTGTGAGACAATGGTGAGGACAAGTGATACCTGTGAGACAACGGTAGGTGAGGACAAGTGATACCTGTGAGACAATGGTGAGGACAAGTGATACCTGTGAGACAATGGTGAGGACAAGTGATACATGTGAGACAATGGTAGGTGAGGACAAGTGATACCTGTGAGACAATGTTAGGTGAGGACAAGTGATACCTGTGAGACAATGTTAGGTGAGGACAAGTGATACCTGTGAGACAATGTTAGGTGAGGACAAGTGATACCTGTGAGACAATGTTAGGTGAGGACAAGTGATACCTGTGAGACAATGGTGAGGTCAAGTGATACCTGTGAGACAATGGTGAGGACAAGTGATACCTGTGAGACAATGGTAGGTGAGGACAAGTGATACCTGTGAGACAATGGTAGGTGAGGACAAGTGATACATGTGAGACAATGGTGAGGACAAGTGATACCTGTGAGACAATGGTAGGTGAGGACAAGTGATACCTGTGAGACAATGTTAGGTGAGGACAAGTGATACCTGTGAGTCAATGGTGAGGACAAGTGATACCTGTGAGACAATGGTGAGGACAAGTGATACCTGTGAGACTATGGTAGGTGAGGACAAGTGATACATGTGAGACAATGGTGAGGACAAGTGATACCTGTGAGACAATGGTGAGGACAAGTGATACCTGTGAGACAATGGTAGGTGAGGACAAGTGATACCTGTGAGACAATGGTGAGGACAAGTGATACCTGTGAGACAATGGTGAGGACAAGTGATACCTGTGAGACAATGGTGAGGACAAGTGATACCTGTGAGACTATGGTAGGTGAGGACAAGTGATACCTGTGAGACAATGGTGAGGACAAGTGATACCTGTGAGACAATGGTGAGGACAAGTGATACCTGTGAGACAATGGTAGGTGAGGACAAGTGATACCTGTGAGACAATGGTGAGGACAAGTGATACCTGTGAGACAATGGTGAGGACAAGTGATACCTGTGAGACAATGGTGAGGACAAGTGATACCTGTGAGACAATGGTAGGTGAGGACAAGTGATACCTGTGAGACAATGGTAGGTGAGGACAAGTGATACCTGTGAGACAATGGTGAGGACAAGTGATACCTGTGAGACAATGGTGAGGACAAGTGATACCTGTGAGACAATGGTAGGTGAGGACAAGTGATACCTGTGAGACAATGGTAGGTGAGGACTAGTGATACCTGTATTGTAAGCCCTTTAGAAGTTGTGCAGGTCTTGAGTGCATCTATGACAAGGTTGTACATTGTGGGGGTCTGAGGCTTTGGGGCTTTTGATTCAGTGGCTTTTGCAGCCAGATCTTTTGATTTGGGGCTTTTGGTCTCTGATGGGGCTTTAAGCTTTGGACTTCTTGTTTTAACTGGAGCTTTTGTTTTAGGGCTTTTCGGTTGAACTGCAACTTTTGCCTTGGGGCTTGCAACTTTGCTTGTCAAGGGTTTTTTACCCCTGGGCTTTTGAGCTGGTAATTTTTCCTTTGGACTTTCGGCTTTGTCAACTTTTGTCTTTGTGACTGTGGGACTTTCTTCAGGTTCCTCTGCCATTTCTTCTTCTTCAACTTCTTCAGAGGACGATGAGTCATCAGATTCTTGAGACGTGTTTTCCGCAGGTTGAGAGATTGTGTAGCTTGAGTCGGCCATCTTGCTTTAACAATTTGGAAACGTTAGTCACTTGAGAGTTAAAGAGAATTTGTTTTTAATCCTGAATCATACCTAACCCATTAACTTTAACATCATAAAAATATGTAGGCCTAAATAAATAACTTTTAAAACTCTTATTTATTGACTATCATTTGTAAGCTTAACTTGATCCTTTGCCAGTTCAAGATCTACCAGAAGTTGTGGGGACATTTTAGTTTATTCTAATTTCAGTTTAAGTAGCGCTAACATTAATGTCTACATCCTTTTTGTTTACAGCTAAACAAGTGAAAGTTTCAGCATCAGTTAGATCTAGATTCTAGATCTAGATTTCTAAATAAAGTTTACAACACCACAAGTTTACAACACTACAAGTTAACACCACCACAAGTTACCTCTGAAGTTTACACCACCACAAGTTACCTCTGAAGTTTACACCACCACAAGTTACCTCATAGAGTGTTCCACTAACAGCGACCACTTACCCTGTTCTGCTGTGCTAGATGACTGTGTGGGGACGCGTCCTGACGACACCAACACACAAACACGTGAGCTGACCAGAAAAATATTTTCTCGCCACGACCGTGTGAACACATTTCACGGGTTGGTCACCGATTTGTGTCTGTGTGATTTGTGTCTGTGTGATTTGTGACTTATATGATTTGTGTCTTGTGTAATTTCTGTCTGTGTGATGTGTGTCTGTGTGATTTCTGTCTGTGTGATTTGTGTCTGTGTAATGTGTGTCTTGTATAATTTATGTCTTGTGTAATTTCTGCCTTGAATGATTTCTGTCTTTGGCACAGATTCATCAAATGTCAGCTTTTTGAAAGTGGTCACATCAAATTCTCTCAGTTTTAAAACTTTTTCCTGGTTTTATTTTCTGAAACATTTTTACAAATATTTTTTTTTCCATTTACGAGAAAGAGAACCAATTAGTTTCTTTACTCAAGGTATAAATCTATTGATATAAAAGTTGAAAGGTCACCAAAAACAAGAACACTATTGTTGGGTGTGACGTGGGGGGGGGGGGGGGGAACGGGACGGATTTAGTATAGTGCACTATAACAGAATTAAAACGGATGTCCTCCTAATGTGAATTAGATGCAAATACATGAGTGATTTAGAGGTTATCTGGCAATGTCCTTGTCACGTTGAAGAATGTTACATTGCTAAAATATAATTACAAATATGCTACGGGGGACTATTTATGAATATATGTGGCCTGTTATTTAAAAATAATTTAACATTTTAAAGAAATTTCTGGTAATTCCCATTGCCCAGCTTGCAGGCGAACGATTTCCTTGATTAGAAGGCCCGCAATTAGAATGTTGACACTGGTTAGAGCGTCGATATTCCAACCAATCAATGAACATCAAAGTCTCGCTCAAGTACATCGAGTTTGCTGAGCAGGTTCTACAACTCTGTTTACACTATTGATTTTATTTTGTAGTCTCCCCTGTCTTTACATTTTAAAATTAGGGGAATTTCTTCCCCTACAAAAAATGTTAAAATAATTTCCTGAAAATATCAAGAATTGAAATATTTGGTCTGTTTATTAGTCTATTTATTGATGTCGTTGCAGCTATTATTTATTACGCCTGGATCATATAGCTGGTCTTTTTAAGCATTGCTCGCAAAACGTTTTGACAAGAATTCTTGAACGACCGACGCTTTAATCTTTTACTTTTAATTAAATATTGCTTAGGTAAATGTGGGCCTATCTTTTTATTTATAGTGCATTAAAAAAATCTCTATAAAGGTTTTGTGTTTATTTTATTCTTTTCTAATTCCTGTGGTTTTTTAATGAAGTAAGAAATGTTTGCCTCAATAGAAATGCTCCATCAAATGTATCCAGTATAGGTGTATGACTTTATTTTTCTATAACAAACCACTCTCATTAATGACTTTTTGTATTGATAAAACAACTTTCTCTGTGCTGGGGTACCAACTAGTCTGATAAATATGTTGCACGTCTCAAGTCTTGATGTCAAGTCTTTAAGTCAAGTCTTGATGTCAAGTCTTGATGTCAAGTCTTGATGTCAAGTCTTGATGTCAAGTCTTGATGTCAAGTCTTCATAGACCAGCCTTACACACCCCTCACCAGTCAGCTACTGTGTATGGTCTCAACTAACAGCGCATGCGTAGACTGAGTTTTTATTTTTAACTAACTCCAATAAACACAAAAAATATATTTTTATTTTATTTTCAGGGATTTAATTATGATCATTTTAACATTTTAAAATTCAATTAACAAAATTATCATTGTATACTTCCGTATAATATAGTATTTCAAAACAGCGGATATAATTATTTCAATTTGTTCTGATAAAATTTGTAATTAATTTTGGCGACAAATAGTTTTCTGACTGGTAAAATAGAGTTTGCTGGCAAACCTAACTATTTTCCTTTTTTACCAACCAATAATCTTCAGTGGTCCCTCGGATAGGCCTATACTTAAAACGTTAATTGAAGTAGGCCTAGCCTATAATTAGCTTTACGTTCAGAATCACAATAATTGTTTTTCTTTCCGCACACAATCATTTAACGATTTTTCTTTGAGTAAATTTTCTTGGCAATTTAAGAATAGCTAAAAATGTGTTTGAGTTTTTCCTATTAATAAGTAGATCTAAATAAATTTCCTTTCTGTTGAAATAAACAAGCCGGCAATCCGTGATTAACAGTTGTAATTAACTAATTTTCGTTGAGTTTGCCTAATTAGTAATAACTATTATTGCAAGCGGTATTGCTTTAACATTCAAGTTAAAGTTGTATCTTACAACATAAAAGTTTATTTCTTATTGAGCCCCACGCCTAGACTTCTACGGAGATCAACACTACAACAACAGAGATCAACATAAGACATCCACAGAATCAACACGACAACGACAGAGATCAACATAAGACATCTAGGGAAATCAACAACAGAGATCAAGACACCCACACACCTCAACAACCAGGCCAGGCGAGAGATGGAATCCGCCATTGCTAACATGACGTCACAGAACACACTGACCAGTATCGGTGTCATAAGCTTCGATCTCTACACAACGCTTTTGGCGGCTTTCGCTGTCATGTGGTTTGCCGTTTGCATTTCCGGCACGCTGGGAAACTACGTCAACATCCAAACATTCGTTGCCATGGGGCTGAACGATGGGGTGACCGTGACCTTTCTAGTCCTCTCCATCCTTGACCTATGCTACATTCTCGTCTGCCTAGCTATGTCGGTCGGCACGATGCTCATCGTGATTGAGTATAAAATACCAAAAGTCGTCTTCAGTGTCCAACCTTACGCCATTGGCCTGACATTCGGGAACATCGGGGTTTTGTTTTCATCCAACATCCAGCTGGTGACCACGTTCCTCTCCATCGCGCGCTGCATGTGTATAGCTAAGCCGCTCCACTTCAAGTTCGTCTTTACCCGCAATGTTTGCTGCGCTGTGCTGTTTGTTATATCTTGCTTTACTTTACTAGCGAATCTACCCGTGCTAGCTACGACAGGTATCGTGCCTATATTTGACCCAAGTCTCAATTTGACGCGTCCAAGTTTTTGGACCTCGGAAAATCGAAACCAAATTAAAAACATAATTTGGGCTGTTACCGAAATATTTGTCCCATTTGCTACACAGATTATAGTCATTGTTTGTCTCGTTGTCATGGCATCGTGCCTCAGGCAGTCTTCGAAGTTTAGAGCGTCTTCATCAACGTTGATTGAACAAACAAACATCAATGCAAACTCTGGAAAGAAAAACAATTTGGCTTTATCTGTGTACAACTTATCTGGCAAGGAGCTTCAGGTCATTCGACAAGTTGCCGTCGTGTCATTGGTCTACATCGTCTGCAACACGCCAAAAATAATTTCTAACTCGGTAACAGAGGCAATCCCGGAGTACAACGTGGGCAACAAATTCACCAACCTCTACATGGTTATCTTCTCTTTGAGGAAACTTTTCGAATTGGTCAACTCATCCGTCAGTCTACCCATCTATTACAGATGTAACGGAAAATTTAGAACACTGTGCACATTTAGAATTAATCAAATCAAATTCGGCAGATTTGCTTGACTAATTGAAGAATGTAATCTAGTGAAAATTTAATAAAAACTCAATTTGATATACAGGACGTCACGTTTTTTTTTGGTCGATTTAGAAGCGGGAGTGATCTTCCCTAAACTTTCTCGAATATACTTCTTTTACACCACGAGGGATGACAACTCGGGATGTAGACATGATTTTTAATCAATATTTAATTACTTAAACTTTTAAAAATAGAATTTCGTAGAAAAAAGAACTGCGCACCAAGTGAACAGCAAACAATGCGTGTATAATAGTGCGGAATATTAGTACTTTATAAATTCGTATGCGTTTTTGAGAAATCGGAAAATACTACTTCCGGTAAACGGTATAAAGAAATTTTGTCCGTCTATCTGAAACAATACTCAAGTTATAGGCTTTTGTAAAACAAAAACTTTAGTAAGTTCCACTTTCGGTTACCGGAAATTGCTGAAAAGTTGATACAGAGCTGCAAATTGGATATATAGGCCTATTATATATGAAATTTTATCAACCTAGCTGTAACGGTACTCAAGTTATTGTGTTTACAGACGGACACACACAGACACACACACACGCAGACATACGGACAAAATTGCAAAACTATGTTTTTCCGATCCAGGAAGGCGTAAAACGTTTTTTTTTGCACGATTACAATATCTCCTCTGTACATCGTATACTTTAAAGTAAGAAACCTCCGCACTGTCAGACAAAAAATGTCAGAGCCTCCAACTTGATGACGTCACACACTCTCTAAACCTGCTAAATCTTTCTCGATTTCTTCCTGGTCAGGGGCTGGATTAACCCGGAACAAGATAAGCCTGGGGCTGGATTAATCCGGAACAAGATAAGCATGGGGTTGGATTAACCTGGGGCTGGATTAACCTGGGACAGGATTAACCCGGAACAAGATAAGCCTGGGACAGGATTAACCTGGGTTATGATTAATCTGGGACATGATTAGGTATAATGGTTAATTTTTATTTCAAAATTAAAGTTTATTTTACAAATTGAAATAACTGCCAACAAATACTTAAATAAATTTTTTTTTACCTGACGTAAAGTGTGACGTCACACGTTTTGCCCCCCCCCCCCCATCCCTCTTGTAACACGTCGTCACTAAAGTAGGATACCCTTCTTTATTGGAGTGTGATCCGTGTTTCTTTCAGACTTTGTTCTCCGAGGAGGGGGGGGGGGAGGGGCACGGTAGACGTTCTTCGAAGAAAGAAACTGAGTGTGATGTCATTTATGGACGATTTCTTAGTAGAAAATACGTAATTAAATTAAGCAACTGGTTTTAGCTTGTATTCCAGCATGTTGCAGACATTGATGTGCGTGCTTGTATTGATGAGACCATGTAACAAAACATATCAAATAATAAAAAAAAAACCTGTCTGATATCAGCCTGTCGTTGTGTGACAAACATACACGTTCTGACCTACTCGTCAAACAAAGTTGTTTTCACCTCAAAAGTTTTGGTTTTATTACTACAAGCTTTTATTTATCTTATTTCCCTGTTTCTTTTGTCTGTCTGCCTTGCTAAAGGCTTCGTCATGGGTCGACACTGGTGAGCAAACTTCGACCACTGCTGACCAATTTCTTTCAAACTTGGCGCGTGGGTCAAGAAATTTTTTTATTGAATACCTTAACTAAAGAGGAGATCAACGCTTCTGATAACAGTTGTTTAAATAGTAGTGAGTAATTATATATTTAAAGAAAATAATTCATTTCTCCTTTTCGGTGCATAATTATAAAACCTTATTAAAACGTTTTTTTTTCAAATTTTTTTTTCAATAATAATTTAGACGCTTTATGGTGGTACTCAAAAAATCAAAAGGCCATTACTTGATGGTCGAGACTAGCTACTTAATAGTCGAGCTACTTGATGGTCGAGCTACTTGATGGTCGAGCTACTTGATGGTCGAGCTACTTGATGGTCGAGCTACTTGATGGTCGAGCTACTTGATGGTCGAGCTACTTGATGGTCGATGGTCGAGCTACTTGATGGTCGAGCTACTTGATGGTCGAGCTACTTAATGGTCGAGCTACTTGATGATCGATGGTCGAGCTACTTGATGGTCGAGCTACTTGATGGTCGAGCTACTTGATGGTCGAGCTACTTGATGGTCGAGCTACTTGATGGTCGAGCTACTTAATGGTCGAAACTCACTACTTGAAGGTCGAGCTACTTGATGGTCGAGCTACTTGATGGTCGAGCTACATGATGGTCGAGCTACTTGATGGTCGAGCTACTTGATGGTCGATGGTCGAGCTACTTGATAGTCGAGCTACTTGATGGTCGAGCTACTTGATGGTCGAGCTACTTGATGGTCGGGCTACTTGATGGTCGAGCTACTAGATGGTCGTGCTACTTGATGGCCGAGCTACTTGATGGTCGAGCTACTTGATGGTCGAGCTACTTGATGGTCGAGCCCCTTACTTGATGGTCGAGCTACTTGATGGTCGAGCTACTTGATGGTCGAGCTACTAGATGGTCGTGCTACTTGATGGTCGAGCTACTTGATGGTCGAGCTACTTGATGGTCGAGCTACTTGATGGTCGAGCCCCTTACTTGATGGTCGAGCTACTTGATGGTCGAGCTACTTGATGGTCGAGCTACTTGATGGTCGATGGTCGAGCTACTTGATGGTCGAGCTACTTGATGGTCGAGCTACTTGATGGTCGTGCTACTTGATGGTCGAGCTACTTGATGGTCGAGCTACTTGATGGTCGAGCCCCTTACTTGATGGTCGAGCTACTTGATGGTCGAGCTACTTGATGGTCGAGCTATTTGATGGTCGAGCTACTTGATGGTCGAGCTACTTGATGGTCGAGCTACTTGATGGTCGAGCTACTTGATGGTCGATGGTCGAGCTACTTGATGGTCGAGCTACTTGATGGTCGAGCTACTTGATGGTCGAGCTACTTGATGGTCGAGCTACTTGATGGTCGAGCTACTTGATGGTCGAGCTACTTGATGGTCGAGCTACTTGATGGTCGAGCTACTTGATGGTCGAGCTACTTGATGGTCGAGCTACTTGATGGTCGATGGTCGAGCTACTTGATGGTCGAGCTACTTGATGGTCGATGGTCGAGCTGCTTGATAGTCGAGCTACTTGATGGTCGAGCTACTTGATGGTCGATGGTCGAGCTACTTGATGGTCGAGCTACTTGATGGTCGAGCTACTAGATGGTCGTGCTACTTGATGGTCGAGCTACTTGATGGTCGAGCTACTTGATGGTCGAGCTACTTGATGGTCGAGCCCCTTACTTGATGGTCGAGCTACTTGATGGTCGAGCTACTTGATGGTCGAGCTACTTGATGGTCGAGCTACTTGATGGTCGATGGTCGAGCTACTTGATAGTCGAGCTACTTGATGGTCGAGATACTTGATGGTCGATGGTCGAGCTACTTGATGGTCGATGGTCGAGCTACTTGATAGTCGAGCTACTTGATGGTCGAGCTACTTGATGGTCGATGGTCGAGCTACTTGATGGTCGAGCTACTTGATGGTCGATGGTCAAGCTACTTGATACTCGAGCTACTTGATGGTCGAGCTACTTGATGGTCGTGCTACTTGATGGTCGAGCTACTTGATGGTCGAGCTACTAGATGGTCGTGCTACTTGATGGTCGAGCTACTTGATGGTCGAGCTACTTGATGGTCGAGCTACTTGATGGTCGTGCTACTTGATGGTCGAGCTACTTGATGGTCGAGCTACTTGATGGTCGAGCCCCTTACTTGATGGTCGACTTACTTGATGGTCGAGCTACTTGATGGTCGAGCTATTTGATGGTCGAGCTACTTGATGGTCGATGGTCGAGCTACTTGATGGTCGAGCTACTTGATGGTCGAGCTATTTGATGGTCGAGCTACTTGATGGTCGAGCTACTTGATGGTCGAGCTACTTGATGGTCGATGGTCGAGCTACTTGATGGTCGAGCTACTTGATGGTCGAGCTACTTGATGGTCGAGCTACTTGATGGTCGAGCTACTTGATGGTCGAGCTACTTGATGTTCGAGCTACTTGATGGTCGAGCTACTTGATGGTCGAGCTACTTTTTGGTCGAGCTACTTGATGGTCGATGGTCGAGCTACTTGATAGTCGAGCTACTTGATGGTCTAGCTACTTGATGGTCGAGCTACTTGATGGTCGAGCTACTTGATGGTCGAGCTACTTGATGGTCGAGCTACTTGATGGTCGAGCTATTTGATGGTCGAGCTACTTGATGGTCGAGCTACTTGATGGTCGAGCTACTTAATGGTCGATGGTCGAGCTACTTGATGGTCGAGCTACTTGATGGTCGAGCTACTTGATGGTCGAGCTACTTGATGGTCGATGGTCGAGCTACTTGATGGTCGAGCTACTTGATGGTCGATGGTCGAGCTACTTGATGGTCGAGCTACTTGATGGTCGAGCTACTTGATGGTCGAGCTACTTGATGGTCGAGTTACTTGATGGTCGAGCTACTTGATGGTCGAGCTACTTGATGGTCGTTGGTCGAGCTACTTGATGGTCGAGCTACTTGATGGTCGTGCTACTTGATGGTCGAGCTACTTGATGGTCGATGGTCGAGCTACTTGATGGTCGAGCTACTTGATGGTCGAGCTACTTGATGGTCGAGCTACTTGATGGTCGAGCTACTTGATGGTCGAGCTACTTGATGTTCGAGCTACTTGATGGCCGAGCTACTTGATGGTCGAGCTACTTGATGGTCGAGCTACTTGATGGTCGATGGTCGAGCTACTTGATAGTCGAGCTACTTGATGGTCGAGCTACTTGATGGTCGAGCTACTTGATGGTCGAGCTACTTGATGGTCGAGCTACTTGATGGTCGAGCTACTTGATGGTCGAGCTACTTGATGGTCGAGCTACTTGATGGTCGATGGTCGAGCTACTTGATAGTCGAGCTACTTGATGGTCGAGCTACTGGATGGTCGTGCTACTTGATGGTCGAGCTACTTGATGGTCGATGGTCGAGCTACTTGATGGTCGGGCTACTTGATGGTC